AATTTAATACCAATATTTTATGAAAACTATAATATAAAAAAATTACAATATCATGTAAATGAAGNTTTCTTAAAAATATTTTGTTTCTCTTTATCTATATTCTTGTTTAATTCTTCTTCTCTTTTTCCTCTTTGTTTTGTTTTAATAACTGTGTATAAACTTCTTTTATATTTTTATATAAAAAATTTTATAAAGAATTTTTTTTTCTTTTATTCCATTTGTATTTTCTTTTAATGATCTTTTTCTTAATTACACTTTTCTGAACTTACTCTATTAAAAAAAATTTACAATAATTTTTTATATTTTTTATCTTCTATTTTTCTTTATTTCATTTATTATGATTATTTATTTTATTTTTATTTTTATTTTTTTTTTTTGCAACAAATATTTATAAACTGAAATACTTTTAATTAAATAATATCATTTTTTAACAAAAATATGTAATATTTTTGTAATTTTATTTTTATTAGTTTATTTTATGTAATAATATTTCTAATTACATCAATAATATATCTTTTTTTTTTTTTTGATATTTGCTCCAATAAACAAATTAATTAAGAGACAATAAAAAATAAGATAAAATATAATTAAAAGTATATTTCATTGTTATTTAAAATTTCTTAATTTTCAATAATTTATTTCTGTTAAAATTAGAATAAAAGAAGTATGCTTAAGTAGAACTAGAGTAATTTTTCTATAAAAATAAATATTTTATTCTATCTTTAATTTGTTTAAAAGAAAAAAAAGAAAAAAAAATTTGTGTAAAAAAAAAAATATAAAATGGAAAATGTTTCAAAAAATAAATAGAATTATTTTTATTTTATTTTCTGTTATTTATTAGTTAAGAAAAGAAAAAGATGGAAAGCTAAAGTAAATAAATGATATAAATTTTTTAATTAAAACTCTTTTTTTTTTTTTTTTAATGTAATAAACCAAATTAAATTTTTTAAGAAATAATGAATAATAAAATTTATTTACATTATTTTATAGAAAATTAAAAAACCGAATAATAAAAAAACAAAAAAAAAAAAAAAAGGATAAAATATATTTACTTTTTAAGAAAAAAATTCTTATGGTTCACCAAAAAAATAAAAACCATATAATATATTTTAGCAAAAATTATACTGAAACAACAGTTGATTAATATAGATTTATTTTTTAAAAGATATAACATTTTAAGAAAAAATTATTAAAAAAAAAGGTTATATATATTAAAATATTATTAAAAGGTGATATCGTTTTATCTTTATGGAAATATTTTATTCATTGTATGTTAAGACATGCACACATAAAAAAAAAAAAAAAAGAAAAAGAAAATACTAATAATAAATACATGAAATCAAATAATTATTCTTTTATTAGAGTGTTTTGAAACCATATGCAAACTAACTATAGATATTCGTTAACATAAGCTAAAAATGAAAGTTAGAAAAACATTTGTTTTAATTATTGGAGGTGGACCAACAGGTGTAACAACAGGTTTATATCTACAGAAATATAAAATTCCACATCTATTAATTGAGAAAGATAGATGTATAAAAAAAATACCTAAAGCACATTATTACAATAATCAAACAATGGAAGCATGGAGAAGTATATTTCATTTAGATAAATGTTTTCTAAATGAAACAGAAGACTTAAATTTATGGAGAAACTTTCAGTATTGCTTAAATATTAGCAAAAATAAATCTTTAGGTTATTATGATAATTTCTTTAATAAATATACCTACAAAAGTACATACTATGAAGATATTAGTCCATCTAAGGTTACTCATCTATCCCAATATAAATTATTAGGAATATTATATAACTATTATATCAATAAGATAAAATGTGACAAAAATAAAAGGAATGAATTTTTAAGAAATATACAATTGAAATTGTCTACATATAGAAGTTTAAATGATATATTAAAAAGGTATGAATTAGATGTAGAATCAGAATATGATTATACATGTGATAAAGACAAAGAAAAAGAAAAGTTTTACAATTTTTATTCATATGACCATTCAGAATTATTAATAGGATATGAATATGTAAACTTTTTAAATATTAGAGAATTAATAGATATACACAATTATAACTGTAAAAAATACAATAAAGATATATTTAAAACAATAAATGACACTGGAAATGAAAATTATATGGAAAATTATGATTTTAATAATAATATATATAATTCAGAAAAATATATAAATTCTCCAAATTATATAATAACAAAAATTAAAAATTTAAATAATAATGAAGAAGAAATAGTTTTAAGTAATTATGTTTTTGTTGCAGAAGGAGGTAAGAGTAGCATAAAAAAGAGTTTAAATATTAATGATGAAAATAAAAAGGAATACATGAAATTTGTAAATATACATTTTAGTTCGAAATACTTAAGTAATTTAATAAAGTATAATCCCTCTATGTTATATTTTATATTTAATGAATATATCGGTGTATTAGTTTGCCATAATTATACAGAGGGAGAAGTTGTTCTTCATATTCCATATATAACAGAAAAAGAAAAAGAAATTTATTGTGATAAAAGCAATTGTTTACAAATTATAAATAAATTAATTGGATTTCCATTACATGATATAAAAATTTATAATATTTATAAATGGAAAATGCATAGTTCTATTTCTTCAACATTTGTAGATAAAAAAACTAAACGCATTATTCTTTTAGGAGATTCTGCACATAAATTACCTCCATCTGGAGGTTTTGGCTTGAATTTAGGAATAGGAGATGTTATTAATATAACATGGAAGATAATTAGAATTTTTAATTTAAAAAAAAAGTCATTTTTAGAAAATGTAGAAAAAATAGAGGAATTTAAAAAATTCTCTACGAAAACCACAGACAGTATATCTTATGTGATAAATGAAATTACAAAAATGAATTTTATCATGAATATGATGAGTACATACGAGAAAAAAAAAATTGATAACTATATAAATTCTTATAATATTGAGAGAAAGTTAGTAGCAAAATATACTATATATAGTGCAGTTAAAAATTATGAAAAAGGAAACAATATTCCAAGTACATTAGGGTATAATAATAATTTTATTATTAGATTAATAAATAATTGCAATAACTGTGTAGTTCAAAATTCCTTTTTTTTTTATTTTTTATTCAAAAATGCTAAAAAAATTTTAAGTACTTTTAATAATATTCCATATATATTTCAGTATAATCAAAAAAAACTTGAAAATTTATTTAAAAATCAAGAGAACGTTTTAACCTTGTTGTACCCAGGTGTGGATTTTTGCTATTCTTATATAGATACAATTAATGAAGTAGAAGAGGAAGAAATACATAGCGAAAGTTCCTTTGATAATAAAAACAATATAAAAAGTGAGGTATATAATGAAATCGAAATTAAAAACTCGATGGAAAATGTTCAGACGGAAAAGGAGAAAAATATAGAGAATTTTCATAGTAATAATAAAAATGAAGAAATTAGTTACAATTTGTTAAATAAAAATAATTTAAATAATATATACTTTAAAACAGAAAAAAAAAAAAAATATAAAGATAACACAGATAATAATAGTAATAACTCCACTTATGAAAACATACAATCAAACACAGAAGAAAAAAATAAAAGACAAAATAATAATTTTAATTATGTAAGTGAGGATAATTTTCAGAACACAAAGATTTTTGAAAAAAAAAAAGAAAAAATACCTAAATTAAAAGTATGCAAAAATATATATGAGTATGAAATTCCTAGCATAAATGGAACAAAAATACCTCATTTTAATCTTTATACATTTGATCAAAATTATATTTATAGATTGTCTACTGTTGATTTACCCCTATTTAATAATACGTATTTATCTATTTTAGTTATTTTGTTTGATAATACGATTTTAAATAGCTTAATTGATTATTTATCTTTTCATAATATATCACAAGATAAATTTTCTTTTTGTATATGGGACTCGGACGTTTTAATATATAAAAATAAGAAAAATAAATCTATTAGTATTATAAAAAATGAAGATATCAAAAACATAGATGAAACTAATTTTATCAATAAAATAGTAATTAGCGATAATTTCTTACTCAGCAAAAAAAAAAAAGATCATTTAGGTGATGCATCAAAAATAAAACATATACAAATAAATGAAAAAAATTATAATGTTAATTATGTCTTTACATCAAAACTAATAAAAGATATGTTTTTAAATGTTTTAAATTTAAAATCAAAGAGTTCTTTTGTAATTTTAAGACCAGATAAGCATATTATATCAACGGGGGATCATGATTTATTTGAGCATATTAAGTTAATAAATAAAATATACATTTAATCTATATTATACAATTAAAAAAATAATAATAAAAAAAAAAAAAAAAAAAAAAAAAAACACTATATTTATAAGTATTTTTTTTCTTCTTTTCTCCTTTTGTAAGATACTTAGAATTTGATCACTTCAGAAATAATATGAATTCTTATTTTTCTTAATTTCTTTTATAATATTTTTTTTAAAATTTATTTAAACATGTACATATTTTCATTCCATAATAATTTTAAATTATAAAATTGATTTTTTAATAATTTCTTTGTAATTTTACGAACATGTTCTTTTTTAATTTTTACATATTAAATATTTTAATTTTTTTGTTTTTTAAGGAAAATTCTGATTTACTTTAAGTGATATTAAAAAAAATAACTTTTAAGATTTGCAAAAAAAAAAAGAAAAACTAAAAAAATAATAAAAAAAATGATATATACTACACATATATAATCCTGTTATTTTTATTCACATAATTATAAACTCTTTTTATAGAAAGACATCACTCAATTTAAATAATTAATATATGTATTAACTAAATATGTTAAAACTATTATTATACTTATGTTTTTAATTCTTAAAAATAAAATATATTAATAATTTTATCATTAAATTTTATATTATATATATACTCTTTATCCAAAGGTTAATCGATTACAATTTTTATATCATTTTATTTAATTGTTTAATATACATTTTTTAGGCTCTATTGTAATTGCTTAAATTTTAATTTTTTAGAATCATTTAGAAATTACAAAGATTTAAATAAAAATTTATATAATAGAAAGTTTATCCTTTTTTTTTTTTTTTTTTTTTTAACACTAAAAATAATGAACATATAAACTATTAAATGTTATGTTGTTATAGCAGTAACTATGTAAAAATATAAAAAAGTTTTGTTTGATAAGTGTTTAAAAAAAAAAAAAAAAAATTATACATTAAAATAAAGTTAAAATATAATAGGAAAAGAAATGTATAAAAGTAAAATGTGTGTATGTATCTTATAAAATATATAAGAACATATAATCTTAATATTCCTCAAAAAAAAAAAAAAAAATAAAATAAAATAAAATAAATAAAATATAATGCATATATCATTTTCTTCTTATTTTGTTAGTAAATATTGACAAACTAAAAGTTAAAAAATATTACATCAAAATTTTATTTTTTCATAAGTTCATTTTTCTATGCGTTTAATTATGTCACTTTTTTATGGTTACATATGTATATAATTAAACATCACAAAATATTTTTTATGATAATTTATAAATATCTTTAATTAAAATGTAAATATAAGTGTGCAAATTAAATTATGGTACAAATGATTGTATTATAGATAAATTCTACTCATATAAACCATAAAAATAGTCATGATATTCACAAATTAAATTAAACAAATAAGTTTTCAAAATGATACACATATGCATATATATTCAGCTATTATTATTACGTATTTGTTTTTAAATTTGAACATTTAAGATGTGCATAAGTCTCACAATTGGAAACATTTGATGGATAATCAGTTTGAACAGTAGTGTGCAAAATTTTGTATTTATACTGACACAATAAAGTTGCATCGTTCAAAACATTGTGTGAATTATTTTTGTGTGCAACTATGTGACAAGCTAAAGCTGGTTTTCCTATAGATAATGACCAAACATGTAAATCATGAACATCTATAACACCTGGTATTTTTAATAGATCATTTTTTAAATCAATTAAATTAATGCTAACAGGAGTTCCTTCCATTAGCACATTTAAAACTTCTTTGATTACCGATATGGTAGTTGAAAAAACAATAAAACAAAAAATAATAGAGCAAATAGGGTCTGTAATAGAATATTTGGGATTGTACCAAATAATTACAGATGCAATCATAACACCTATATTTTGAATTAAATCACTAATGGCATGAATATATGCTGCTTTTAAACTAATGTTATTGATTTCTTCGCTATTATGCTCATGGCAAGAATTTTGTTGTATTATTTGATTTTCGTAAATATCACAATTTGTATTTTCTTCATAGTTTTCATTTTTTAACATATAAGCATTCGCATTTTCTATATTATTATTTTTAAATGATTTATTATGTGGATATTTTTTTTTTTTACTTTTTTTTTTTTTTATTAGATCATCGTTATTATTTACATGATCATTTATAACTACTTGAAAATTATCATTATTTTCATTACTGTTTTCAAAATTGCCTTTCTTAATATCATTTTTTGATTCTTCTAATGAGTTTCCTATTGATTTTTCTTTATGAGAATTTTCATTATCATTTTTATTCAAGTTTTCATAATAATCAAAAGTAACATAATTACATGAAATTCCATTAATTTTATTGTTTAATACATTTTTATTCATTGTAGTATCATTATTTTCTAAAGCAATATCACTATTTATATTTTTGTATCTTTTATTTTTTGATTGAATTTTTGAATTACTTACACAAGTTTTATTATCCTTATGATTATGTGTCCCATCATTATGACTACATTTTCTATTGTCAAAAAATCCAAATCCATGTGTATGAACTTTTAAAATATATGCGATGAATATATTTGCTAGAGTACTTACAAATGATGTAACAAACATTATATATCCATTAACAACTTTAACATTAAATAATCTGAATATGGCACTATATAAAATATAAGCAGATAATGCCCATATAAAAAAAATAGAAAATAAAGCTCCTATAATTTCGGCTCTATGATATCCAAATGACATATCAACATTTCCTTCAAAATTTGAGACATAAATAGAAAAAAGATTTAACCCAAAAGAAAGTAAATCACAAAATAGGTGAGAAGCATCTGTCATTAAAGATAAAGAATTAGATACAATTGCAGCAATAATTTCAATTATCATAAATATGACGCATATTATACTTGCAATAATTAATTTTTTAGTAGCTCTCTTTTGAGATTTATCATATAAACGAGACATTTTCTCTGCATCATTTACATTCATATCTTGTTCAAGTAATGATTTATTCATTTTAATTTTACTTTATTATTTTATATTTCTATTTTATGAAAATACATTTAGCTAAATGTGAGAAATTTTTATTTCCTCATAAAATGTGTACCTTCATATAGAGATTTATTCTGACCATTTATATATATTTTACATTTAATTATTTTTTATTCTATCAATTCTTCAAACTATAAACAATAGAATATTATTAATACACCCTTATAATTTTAATAGGTCATTTATTTTGGTACTATTATATGAAAGAAAAATATATAATTACCAAAAAAAATATATTTAAAAAAATTATGCTTTAAACATATTCTTAAAAATAAAAAAAAGTTGCTTATGTTCTAACTAAAAAAATTATATAAAAAATAAAAATTTTTTAAATTGTGTTTTAAATAGGTCCTCTTATTTTCTACTTTTTCTTTTTTGAATTTTTTATTCAACATATATATACAGAATAAATTCAAAAAATTAAAAGCAAATAATCATCTTTAAGGTACTCGTGAAAAAAAAAAAAAAATAATAAATAAAATAAAAATGAAATGTATAATATTTCAGTAAGTCAAATACATTAAGAAATAAATAATAATATAAACTTAAAATTAAAAAAAATAAAATTTTTATAATAAAACAAAACAGAAATATTCCTAAACACACATAATGTAAAAATATATTAGCAGTAACTTGTATATTTTTTATAGTAACAAACACATCCCTTAAATGTAAAAATGTAAAAAAAAAAAAAAAAAAAAAAGAAAAATTTAGCAAAAGTTTTTATAGCCAAAACTATATTTACAAAAATTCAACTAAAGTTATAACCTTTTAAAGCAAAAGTAAAATAAAAAAAACTTCAAAATTTAAATTCTAAAAAAAAAGAAAGTTACCTTAATTTTCTATTATATAATAAATTATTTATATAAATGAAAATAAACTTTTTTTTTTAAAAAATATTTTTTTTAAAATAAAACATTATGTTTTATTAATGTAATTTTTAAATACTTATATTTTTAAAATTTTAATATATATATTATTTTTGAGTTTTATTTAAGATGTTTATATCCTATTATTATCATTTTAGCACAAACATTTTATTGGATTTAAGAAATTAAAATTACTATAAATGTGTAATTTCTCCTTAGTTGAACTATTTTCATTTTTATTTTTTTTTTTTTTTTATTTGTTAATTTCTTTTATTTTTCTAATATTTTTTTTTTAAACATTAACATTTTTAATTCAAAAAGAAAATTAAGAAATTTAATTTTTAATATTTTTGCAAAAATTATAAAGTTATATTTTTTTGTGTATATATATTTTTTTACAAGTTTTTTAAATTCATGTTTATTTCATTTAAACCTCATTTTAATTAAAATTCTTATTTTAGACTTGTACTAAAATATTATGAATTCTTTTTTTTTTTTTTTTTTTTGTATAATTAACAAATATTTGTGCCTTACAGTTGATTTTTCTATATAGGAATTAAAACTTGGGCTTTTTTTTCAGTAAACAAGAATATTATTAAAAAAAAAAAAAAAAAACTATATATATATATAATATAATAGTTATAAGCAATTTTGCAATTCTATTTTAATTAATAATTTTTCCATTTTTTAAATGATAACGAATTATGTCTAGTGTATTAAATAATGACAATTTTGATAAGGACAAATATTTAGTAAATAATGAAAAAGATAAGGAGAAAAAAAAATTCTTACTAATAACTGTTAATTTACTTCTTTTATTTTCAATGCTATTGTATGGTATAAATTATACATTAATGAAATATTTTATTAAAATAAATGGATCTACATATATATTTATTATTTTAAGAACTACCCTTACAATACCTCTAATGGTTTACATATATATAACAAAAAAATCGAAACCTGAAAAGAAAAAATTATTAAGTAATACGAATGAAGTAACAACAAAAGAAAAATATAAAAAAAATAAATATAATGATAATGATTTTAGTGGAATTTTTTATAATAGTAGTAATTATGATGATTATATGAAATTTTATAATAATAATAATAATAATAATAATAATAATAATAATAAAGATATAAGCAATTTCATGATTAATGATAATATTAGTGATAAATATAATAGTGAAAAGTATGAAGAATATTACAATGTAGAAAGTTTTAATAGCAATTATTTAAGTATAATAAGTAAAAATGATGAAAAATTAATACCTAAAATAGCTCATATTCCTATAATTATATTATCAGTAGCAGGGGCATTAAGACAAATTATTGTAATAATCGCCTTACAATATACTGATTCTCATAATGTTGGCATAATTCAACCAACTATACCAATTTTTACAGCTTTAATGTCATATTATTTAAAAATAGAAAAAATGAATTATATAACGTTTTTATCTATTTTCTTATCATTTATAGGATTAGCTATAACAGCTGAAATATGGAATATTCATGCCTTAGATTTTGGTTTTCTCTTATTGTTAACAGTTCCTGTAACGAAAGGATTACAAGTTATTTATATTAATATTGCCGCTAAATATGTAAGTAATAATATAATACAATTTTTTCAAATGATAGTTTTACTTTTTATAGCATTACCTTTTGGAATATTAGGAGAAATGTTATTTAATCAAAAGTATAATATTATAAATGAAATATATAATTTAAATGTAAATCAATTTTTATGCATACTCTATTCAACTGTCGCTATTATATTTATCTGTTGGAAAATACAAATAATAGCTCTTAATCATCTTTCACCAATAACTGTATCCTTGTATCAATCATTTCAACCATGTTTCACATTTATTTTAGCAAAAATTTTTCTAAATGAAACAATAAGTATAAATAAAATTATAGGAACTGTTTTTATTATTATGTCATTGTTTTTATATCAGTATGGATGCTATAAAAAAATAAAAATGTAACATAATTATACATATATATATTACTTATAACCTAGAAGTTGATACTTCATCATTTTTTTTATTTTACAAATTTTATAAAATGAAATTATTATTTTTGTCTTTTTTTTTTTTTTTTAAATTATTATTTTAAGAATTTTATTTTTGTAAAACTTATTTTTTATAATTATTATTATTTTATCTATACAAAGAACTTGTAAAATGATAAAAACATATTTTAAAAAAAACCAAAAAAAAAAAAAAAAAAGAAAAACTAAATTTAAATACTTAATTTTATATACAAATAATATATTCATAAATAATAATTTTTTTTTTTTTTTTTTTCTCTTGTTTTTTTCTTTTTTCAATATCAACAAATAATTGATAAATAATTATAAATGAACTATATATATATATATATATATATATATATATATATATATATATATATATATAATGGAATAAACACAAAAAAAAAAAAAATTAAAATTATTAATATGAATAATTTAGTTATTTATTTAACCAAATTTTTATAAAAAGATATTATTATTAATAAAATACATTTTTTGTTGTTAGTATATTATGAAAACTACTTTTCTAAATTCCATCTCCATCTTATGTGTTTTTTCATTTTATTAAATCTTGATGGTGGTTGGCAATGTAATTTTACTCTTCCTGCTAAATTAATTTCACTCATTAATTTTTCTACCATTGAATTCATTTCTTTATAACTTTTATTTTCAAATAAAGGAGAGCATAAGATACCATAAAAATGCATATCATGAACATGATGACCCATAGTATAATCTTGTTTAATATGAAAACATATTGGCTTTAGTTTTTCATAAATCAATTTTTTAATATTAATTAGATTTGGGCAGTCCGGTGAAGCAAATTTATGAGCATAGTTTTTTTTAATTAAGTTAAAGTTATATATCTTAATTATCATACTTTAAATTTACAGTCTATTTCAAATTTGTAAATTATATTTAAAAATTTTTTAAAATAATCTATAAAATATTATTAACTCTCTTAAACTTTATTCTTTATAATATTTTTAAATACTCTAGAAAAAATTTTTAAATTATATTGATAAATTTTTCTTGATTACTTTTCTGAATTTCCCTTAAATATAATTCTAAATTTTGTAAATTATACTTCTAAAAAATTTTCATTACGTACATTAAAAAAAAATATATAATAACGGCATATATTTTTATTATTACATTTATATTATATATTCATACAACTAACTATACACTCTGTATCATTATATGTTTTATAACTACATTATATTTTTTTTTCTATATTTGTTATTTATTAGTTTATATTATTTTTTAAAATGTACAACATAATTAATATTTTTTTGGCAATAAAAAAAAAAAAAATGCAGAAAAAAGTATATTTTAAAAGATAAAATTTGGGGTTAAAAATAGGTATTTAAGGTTTCAGATTATTTATAAATACATGTGATTCTTTTTAAAAAAAAGTTAAAATTTTTATTTACTTTTGTGTATCATACTAATTAAATGCACATTAAAAATTTTATTATAAATAAAGTTGGTTATTAATATATTAAAATGAGTGTGAAATCTAATTAAAAAAAAAAAAAATAAAATAAAAAAGAATAAATAATTTAATTTAATTTATAAAAAAAGTATTAGAAATTTATATAAATTTAAATATATTAAAAAAAAATTTTTTTTTTTTTTGAACCTAGTTTATCGTATCATATATTTTAAAAAAAAAAAAAAAAATAAAATAAAAATAAAAATATGACACCTTTAATTTTAATTTTAAATATATAAATGTTTTAAAAAAATGTAAATAATGAATTTAAAAATTTCGAATATTAAATATTTCATATTTTAAAGCTTACTTATATACTTATAAAAATTTTGAATGAATAAAAATTAAAAAGAAAATATATATTTTTTTTTTCTATTTTAAAAATTTTTAGATTTTCTATTTGCTGTTTTTCTTAATTCAGTATTTAAAATTTTCTTTCTCATAACTATCCTTTTCGGTGTAACCTCAATTTCTTCATCGTCTTGAATAAATGAGAGAGCGTATTCAATACTTACATTTCTGTAGTTTATTCTAATAGTTTCTTCATGTCCTTTATTTCTTAAATGTTGTACTGGTTTTACTTTAACAGCATTCATCTCAATGTCATTATTCAAAAAATGTTCACCAATTATCATTCCTTCATAGGTTGGAAAGTTTTCATTTACAAATAAATTTCCTTTTAATTGAATAGGATCTAATGAGAAAGAAGTTGTGATTCCATTTGATGAAGATATAATAACACCATTTCTATCACTTTTATAAGAAGCTTGTTTTTTTTTATATTCTTTTAACTCAGAATTAATAATTGATGTACCTTTACTAATATCACGCAAATAAGATCTCATACCAAAAAAATTTCTTGATGGACATACACATTTAATAAAGGTATTATCATTATCATTTACTATATCTAAAATTTCAGCTTTTCTTGTATTTAATTTTTCAATAACATTTGAACTCATAGAAGATGGTATAGTTATATGAAATTCCTCAATAGGTTCTAATAAGTTTCCATTTTCATCTTTTTTATATATAACATTTGGTGAAGATATAGTCATTTCATATCCTTCTCTTCTTAATTTTTCAATTAGTATACCTAATTGTAATTCTCCTCTCCCTTTTACTTCATAACTGTCTTTCTTTTCAGATTCATTAATTTCTATAGCAACATTAATAGCAGCTTCTTTTTTTAGTCTATTTCCTATAGATGACAAAGTTATATGTTTACCATCTTTTCCTGTTAATGGGCTTGTATTTTGTGATATTTTTAAACATAAAACAGGGGGATCAATTGGTCTAGCTTTTAAACTTTGAACTTTTTCATCAGATACTAAAGTGTCATTAACTGATGGAATTATTCCTTTAGAAAAAGATAAATTTACAATATCCCCAGCACTAGCTACATTAGTGTTTTCTATTTTTCTACCTTTCATATAAAATATGTTTTTTATTATACAATTTCCTCTTAATTTATTTTCTTCATTTTTCACAATAATACTGTCTCCCTTTTTTATAACACCACTATATATTTTTCCAGTGACTGTAACTCCTACTCCCTCCTGATGATCTATTAGACTAATTAACATACTGAAAGGTTCATTTATAATTTTGTTTTCTATATCTTTGTCATCCATAAGTTTTACATTATCATTATTGTTATCCGTATTACTAATTACACTGTTATTACTTTCATTACATGTGTCATTTCTAGATATATTTACATTTCCTTTATTGTTATCTACATTGCAAATGTTAATATTAGATGAGGAAATAGGAGAATCGAAATATTCTATAATTTTCTTAAATATAACTAAAACATCATTTTTTTCACATTTATTTAGTTTTGCATCATCATAGTTATCCGTACACCAACCATTTTTAGCTGATGCATATAAAATTGGATAATTCATTAATTCATCAGGTGCATTTAAATCAGCAAATAAATCAAATATTTCATTTTCAATTTCTTCTTTTTTTTTGATATTACTTGGTTTATCAAATTTGTTCATAATAACAATAATTTTACATTTTGGATTTAAAAGAGATTTTTTTAATACAAACTTTGTTTGATTTTTAGGACCTTCTACAACATCTATAATTAAGCATACACCATCAATTAAGCTCAATACTCTTTCTACCTCTCCACCAAAATCTGAATGACCAGGAGTATCAACAATATTAAAAAAGTAATCATCATATTTGATCCTTGTAACTTTTGACATAATTGTAATACCTCTTTCCTTTTCTAAATCATTATGATCCATCACTCTTTCATTATTTGCTATTTCTCCTCCCTGTTTTAATAATTTGTCTACAAGAGTTGTTTTACCATGATCAACATGAGCAATTATTGCAACATTTCTTATTTTCTTGGGATTTATGATATTTAATTTTTTATTTGTAGAAAAGAATTTATTAAATATTAACAAATTTTTTCTGTAATTATTTCTAAAACAATTGTTTTTATTTACACCTGAGTCATTATATAGACTACTATTGTACAATGAATGTGCACAGTATTCTCTTTCATTTATTACACTACCATTTTCATTAGTATTAGTATTATTTTTAATAATAGTACTGAAATTATAGAAAATATTTATTTTATTTTTTGTAAGTATTACATTAGTATAAATATGTTTATTACTTATCCTTTTATTTAAGCAATTCAAAACTTTCATAAAATACATATTTTTAAATTTAAATGTACATTATTATTTATCATATATTTCTTTAAATTGTCCTTATTGCATATGTGATTAATTTTTTAAAACTGTCAAAAATTTCTATGTATATAATTAACAAAAAAAAAAAAAAAAAAAAAAAAAAAAAATGTATCTGTAGAATCTAATACTTTTTATTAATTTTACTAATTTTTAACAAATTATATTATAATGTAACACTGATTTTTTTTTTTTTTTTTTTTTTCGTATTGAGCTACCATAACTTTGAAATATATTATAGAATTGATTCTATTAAAACCTTTTTTTTTAATATAATTAAAATCATTTTATTTTTATATTAAACGTTTCATTAAAATGCTTCTTTATATTTTAAGTATTATATAAATTATATAGTTTATATAATTAATTGTAATTATATTAAGTTTTTTTTTTATATTTTACTTTATTTTTTTTTTTTTTTATAATTTCTTTTTCTTTTTTATCAATTTTTTTTTTTTTTTAAATATTAATAAACAACATAACATATAATAAGTATGTATTGCATTATTCTTCTATTGTTAATAAAATAAAAATAATACGAGCATTTAACCTTGCTGTATATTTTAATTATTTTTATATAAAATATTGCAATTTTTTTTTTTTATTTCTAAATTTTATTTTTTTTACATAAAATTTTATTTGTAAAATTTTTTAATAAAATAGTAATTTATTATAAAAGAATAAAAATTTTTTATTTTTTAAAAAAATTCTTACTAAAATGTGGAAAGCAGCAAATGTTTCTTATACAAGATATGCTTCAGAAATGGCAGAAATTTTAAGAAAGTATTAAAAAAAAAAAGAAAGAAATATAAATTTTTTTTTTTTTATAGAACATTGTAAAATATTTTATTCTTTATATGAAAAATTTCATAACATATTTCAAATATTTATCTTCATAATATATATATATTTTTTTTTTTAAGGTGTTTAAAAGATCCATATTCTGATATAGCTTTAGAAAGAAGTAAAATGCATTTAAAAGAAACTATATACAAAGACGGAAAGCCAATTAGTCAAGGTATTAAAATAATGAGAAAAATAGAACATAAATATATTTGTAATGATTAAAAAAAAAAAATCCATTTCCTTATTTTTAAGTTATTCTTTTGTTTTTTATAATTTTCATATATTATATATAATATATTTTTCTTAATTTTATATATATTTTTTAATTTTCATTTTACAAAATATTCAATTTTTTTTCTATTCACATAATGTCTTTTGTAACTCTCATTTATTTTTTAATAGAATTACATGAAGAATTTCAAAAAGCATTTAAAAACCTATATGGTAAAAAAGAGTAACGTTGAAATGTAGGAAAAATGCAAAGATTTAAAAAATATAAAAATAAAACATTGTAAAATATATTTACGAAGCATAAAATTCTCTAAATTTTGAATATTTTATAATATGCAATTTAAGATATCAAAAAAAAAAATGATAAGGTACAAATGTATAAAGAAAATAACAAATTAAAATATAACAAAATTTCCATAAATAGAATATGTAAAGAATATAAATGAACAAATGAAAAAGATCATTAAAGTATAAAATTATAATAATAATTTATTTTTTTATTTTATATAAAGAAAAGTTTACATAATAAAGCTATATTTTAAAATATAAATTTTTTTTTTTTTTAATTGTTTTAATATTTCATATATTCTCATATGAACACATTTATATGAAAATATACACTTTCCATTTTTCCTTTTTTTTTTTTTTTTTTTGTTGTATATACACAACATCACAATAGAAGAATGAATATATAATATAAAAAAAAAAAAAAAATATAAAATAATAAAAGTATTTTAAATTATATACAAAACATGTATATAAGTTTATAATAAGAAAAATCTTTGAAAAAATAATTTATAATAAAAAATTGTCAGAAAGTTATTGTATATATATATATATATATATATATATGTATGAATATAAAAATGTATAAAAGAGTTTTTTTTCTGTTGTGTATTGCACTTTTAAATATAATTTGTGCACAATCAAAAAATGTTGTTTCTTCCTTTTTTTCTTTCATGAATTCAAAAATAAATTCTAAAAAAGAGATATCAAAGATAATACAAATGGGGGATGCTTTAGCATGCCTAACTAATAATGAAAATTCTTTTTATAATGAATGTTCTTGTTCTTTTACGAAAATAAAGGATTTTGAAAAAAAATGTTCATCAAATTTAAAAAAAAATCAAGAAGAAGCAAAAAACTGCTCAGAAGAACATTGTGAAATTTGTTGTATTTTAATTAACATAAATAATACAACAAATTCTATTTTAGAATCAGAATTATCATGCAAAAAAAAATGTACAAAATCTAATTTAATTTTAAATTTGAATGAAGATGATTATAAATTATCCTTTAAAAAATTAATTGAATTTATTAGAATTTTTTTTCCTTCAAATATTTTAAATTATTATTCTATTGAAAAAAAAAATTCTCCTGAATACACTAATAGACTATTAGACACAAGTATTACATAAAATATTACAGTTCATTTGATTAATTATAAATTAAAACTAAATTAAAAAACAACAAATAAAAAAATTTATAATAATTTGATTATTTAATTTTTTTTTTTTTTTTTTTTTTCCCTTCTCTACTGTAGATTATCAAAAAATAAAGGAAGATCTGAATTCAGAAGTAAGAGTGATTATCAAAAATTAATATATATTAAATGTTTTTGTTAATATAATAAAAATTAAAATATAATAAACATAATAATTTAAAAAAAATATATTAATATAATAAATAGAAAATTAATTTTGTTTAAAATGAATATTTGTTATTATCTTAAAAAAAAAAAAAAAAGAAAATATACATTTATGAATTAAAAGATTTATGTAATTATTAAAGGAAAACTTTTATGTTTAATATTCTTATATTTTACATAGAAAAAAAAACATAGATATATTTTTTTACTTAAATTTTTTTTTTAATTTATTTAGACAGACGGAGATAAAATAGAAGAAATAAGCTTGCAATCAAATAATGAATCGGAAGAACTTTTTTCACCATATAATGAAAACTGATCTTTTATTTTATTTTTTTTTTTTTTTTTTTAACTTGTTTGTTATTTACAATTTTATTTAAAAATAAAATATTTTTATTTAATTTTTTTTTTTAATTTTTTTTTTTTTTTTTTTTTTTTTCCTACTATATGAAGAATCAAGTGTAGTAAATTTTGAAAATTTTTTAAGCTCCGAAATTCACATTTTCATATTTTTTACATTTTCGTAGAGGTGTATTTAAAAAAGAAAAAAAACTATAAATTTTTAAAAACATCTAAATGTGAGAAATAAGGAAAAAAAAAAAAAAAAAAAAATTACACTTTTTAATTATACAAGTACTTATTTTATTTGTATAAATGTACATATATATAAGTTATTTAAAAATAGAATTATAAATTTATTATTTGTAATTTTTTTTTTTTTTTAATATATTGTAATAATTTTTTATTTAATACAATATTATTATTACATGTGTAATAGTTCTAAATAAATATAAGTACATGAAAATAAAAAAGTTTTCCTATTTTGATTTTAAAAAGTCAGTATATAACTTTATACTAATTTAAAAAAAAAAAAAAAAAAAAATGATTTACAATAAAATATATATTAAGGAAAAACAATTAATAAAAATAAGACAGTAAAGTTTAATTTGAAACATTTTCAACAGTTGTATATGTATTTTTTTTTTTTTTATTTAATCCATTATTACTACATTGTTACGGTTATTTCAATATATTAATTTATAATACTTTATATATATATATATATATAAATAGATAGAGTTAAAAATAGAATTACATAAAATTTTATGTTTTTATGTTAATATGATTTATATATTTATTTATTTTTTATTTTAATATTATTAGGTATAACTTTACTTAATAATTAATTATAATTTATTATAAATATATCCTTTTTTTTTTTTTTTTTTTTTTTTTTTTTTTTTTTTTTTTTTTTTTTTTTTTTTTTTTTTGTACATAGAGTAAATAATATGTCATTAAAAAAGACACCTTTTTCATTTTTATCTGGAATAAGTTCAAACAAAAATAATGAAAATAGCAAATGGGAAAAAACGATATTAAGTAGAAAAAATTCATATGAACATATTAAAGAATCAAAAGTGTCTGAATTTGGAGATTTTAAAATATTAAATGTTTTATTGAGAGGATTATCAAGTATAGTATGTTTATGTGAATGGACAATTGATCTTAGTAGAACATTATATTTGAATCATTATGTAAATTACATAAATAATAATATATTAAATGAAAATATACAAATAAAGATAAGAGATACTACTAACACAGACAATATTAGTATAATGTCGAATAATAAAGATACAAATACCACTGTAGAAATTAAAGATAGAGAGAAATTAGAATACTGTGATATATATGATATAGAAAAATCAAAAAATAAAAAAGAAATAAAAAATGGAGAATATAATTTAGAAAAAATAAATTTTAAATATAATAATAACAAAATTATCCATTTAGTTCTTAAATTAAAACATAAAGGATTAAATTATAAAATAAGTGAAATTGAACAATTAAGAGAAGAAATTGCAATACATAAAGAGTTAAATCATTTTAATATTTTACAAATGATATTATGCGGAGAAGATGAAAATGATATATGGGTATTTTTTGAATATTCTTCCATTGGTGATTTATATTCATACGTTGGTTTTAAAACGCTAGAAGAAAATGAAGTGAAAATAATTGTATCTCAAATTTTATTTGCTCTTTATTATCTTCATATGAATGGTATAATACATTGCGATATAAAACTTCAAAATATATTACTCTTTCCTTTAGAACCATCTTTATTTGAAAGGAATGATTTATCAAATACTCTGAAAATGAACAATTCGAAAAAAATCAAATTAAATATTAATAAATTGCTTGATTCAATAAATGAGAACAATCAATCTAATAAAAATAACAATACATTCAAAAGTATTATAAAATTATGTGATTTTGGTTTATCAGTTAAATGTAAATTTGATGAATTTTATCCTTATAGAGGCATAAAAGGAAGTTCTGGTTTTATTGCTCCAGAATTATTTCAAGTTAGAAATTTTCTTTTTTTTTTTTTTTATTTTTTTTTTTTGAATACATTTCAAAATTTAAAAATAAAAATTGAAAAGTTCTTTTTGTTATTATAGATTTTTATATATAAACTATTTTTTTTTTTTATCTATATATATAGGAATGTGATTTTAATAATAAAATCGATATGTGGGCATTAGGTATAATTGTTTTTATTCTTTTAGGAGGATATAGACCTTTTTATCCATATTCAAGATTTGAAGTAAAAAAGAAAAATACTTTTTTAATTTTAACATTTATCGTATGAATTTCAGATAGTATATAAATAGAATGTTATAAAAAAAAAAATAATACTTATTCATAGTTTTAATAAAAAAATATTTTCGTATTACATATTTAGAATACATTATTATGCAAACTAAAAAAAAAAAAAAAATTATTATTATTTTCATTTTAAGGAAAAAGTAACTTTTCATGAAAGATATTGGATAAATATATCACCAGAAGCTAAAAACTTTATTCAATCATTATTACAAATAAATCCATCTAAAAGATTGAATGTAATTGAGGCAATGAATCATCCATGGTAATATAAAAACATTACTGAAAAAATTTTTTTATATATTTATATTATTCATTTATTCTTTATTATATTAATATATTTGTAAATTATTTGTTTCATTTTTTATGTATTACATTTAAAATTTTTTTTTTTTTTTTATCATTAAGTTCATAATTTTTCTATTTTATCAAAATATTTCCTTTTTTATTTCTATGATTTTATTAATGCTTTTTTTAATTATTTGTCTATATATGAATTTAATAGGATTAAAAGTTATTTTATAATTACTTAAAAATCAAATCGGTAATAAAGTTTGAGTGAACATAAGTTGTAAAATAAATCTGTTTTCTTTTTTATTTAAAACGATAATAATATTTTTATTATTTCTGTAAAGCAAAAAAATTTTAAATAAAAGAAAAATTATAATGAAATTTTTTATAATGCAAATAATCTTATAAAAATTAATTCTTAGTATTGTAATACTATTATATTTTTTTTTTTTTTTTTTTTTTTTTTTTTTATTATTATTAATTCAAAATTTATGTAATATAAATTAAATGTTATAAGAAGGTTTATCCTAGGAAACAATCAGTTGATAAAAAAAAAAAAAAAAAAAATTNGAAATTTTTTATAATGCAAATAATCTTATAAAAATTAATTCTTAGTATTGTAATACTATTATATTTTTTTTTTTTTTTTTTTTTTTTTTTTTTATTATTATTAATTCAAAATTTATGTAATATAAATTAAATGTTATAAGAAGGTTTATCCTAGGAAACAATCAGTTGATAAAAAAAAAAAAAAAAAAAATTATTCTATAACTTATATGTATATATAATTTGTCTTAAACATTTTGTATGATTTTAAATCTGATTATATTTAATTAATTGCTGTCTTTTAAATATATTTATAATTTCTACTTGATATTCCTTCAAAAAAAATAAAATAGAAAAATATACTTAAACTTAGACAAAAATAATGTATGTACATTTCATATAATATATATATTTATTATATAAAATATAAAAATAAATGCATTTAGAATACCAAATAAATTATGCACTATATAAATAAAATTACGTGTAATTAAAAGCCTCATTTGTGAATACATAAATAGAAAGAGTCAATAGTATTTAGAACTTCATAAAATTAAGAAAATTATTAAATAAATAAATAAGAAAAGGACAAAATAATTTAAAACAGTGGGTAAAATAATAAACAAAAATATTTAAAAATTGTTTTAATATAATATCATAATCTTTTTACTTTACTAATTTTACTTATTTTTTTTTTTTTTTTTATTTACACATATATATAAATATACGTGTAAATTATGTGAAATTTTTATTAAAAATTGTCAAATTGTTTTATTGTTATTATGAATTCACTTTTTTTTTTCTATTAATGTGTCAAATTGTTCTCTACATATTTTATATTTACCTGTATTTATTTTTGTGTGTGCTTTTTTGTTTTATTTTATAATACTTTTAATCTACAATTATATTTTTTTTATATTAAATTATTTTTATATTATCTAAATAATTTTATTTGAAATGGATAATATAATTTAGAAAAAAAATTTTTTTACACATTATTATTACATATATTTTAATATTACCTTATTATTATAATTTTTTTTTTATTATAAGAATATAAAAAATTGTTTTATAAACTTTTTTTAATTTTTTTTTTTTGTTTTTTAAAATAAATGGCTGATAACCATGCTTCTATGTTTTTGTTTACCGTCCAAGGTATACTAGCATCAGTAACTTGCTGTTTATGTTGCTTCATTTATGCATATTGTTATAATAATAAGTTATTTAAAAATGAGAACATACATTCAGAGAATAAAAATAAAAGAAATATTTCAAAATTAAAAATAGATACAGAAGATGATTCTACTTATAAAAAAAGAAATGTAGAAAAAGAACATAGAAATGATTTTGATATAAAAGATTCATTAAATGAAAGGGTATATAAAAATGAAATAATAAAAAGTGAGACAAATGAAAATAACGTAATTTCATTAAAAAGTAAATTAAATAATAATAATAAAACTTCATGGGAAAATGAATCTTTAAAAAATAATTATATAGAAGAGATATCAACTTCAGAAAATATTTGTAAAAATATAGACAGTGGGAAATTAATTTGTGATACAAAATATTTGAATAATGAAGAAAATAATTTTAATCAAATAATTTTAAGTTATAAAGATTACGACAATTTATCATCAGAAAGCACAAAAATTAAAGAATTTAATAACACATATTTAAAAAAAAATATTTCAAATAATTTTCATATAAATTATGACAAAAATGAAAATAAAAACAGTAACTCATTTATAGGTAAAAATTACACTTATGAAGAAGAAAGAAAAAAACATTTCAATATTACTAATAAAATTAATAAAAATTATTTATTTAATAAATTGTATCTATTTGATAATAATGAAGAAAGAAATGTAGATAACTTTCCTATTGAAGTTAATACAAACATGGGAAACTGCCTAAACATTAATAAGAACAATTCTAATATTTTAACTAGTGATAATATTTCACATATCAATGAAATTGATAATCATATTATTAGTAACATTTATAATAATAATAATGATAAGAGAAATAGAATAGAATACAACCCAAAGTTCAATGTTATAGAAAAAGATGAATTCACCTCCAACAATTATGATATTAAAAATAACCTTTATTTAAGTAAACCTGGAAATAATGAAAAATCTTATAATAGAACTTTAAACGATAAATTTTATATTAAGGAAAAAAATAATTTAAGGAATAAATGTGATGAACAAAGTAATTATTACAGAAATGAATTAAATATGAAAATTAATGAAGAAAAATATAAAGGTAGAAATTATTTTAATTCTACAAAAGAAATTAAAAATTATACTAATGAATTCAAAAATTGTAAAAAAAAAAATGACGAAATAAGCTTTAAAGAACAAGGAAATATTGATAATTTATCTTCTCCAAATAATTCCAATTATTTTGGTGACACAAATATATTAACAAAATATGATGAAAATATAACTTTTAAAAATTATAAAAAAAAATATTTGCTTGATGTAAATAAACCCATTAATAGTAAAATAAATAATAAAAAAAAAGATAACATAAGAAATTCCATAACTTATCAAAATAAACAAATTGAAAATAATAGTGATCCTTCAAAGTACAATATTAAAAGCTCTAATATATTTTTTTCTTCTAATGAGTCTTCTAAAGATAATTCTAAATTATGTTATATTCATTCTTTGAATAATTATAATAACAAAACAAATCATAAAAATTTAAATTCAAAAGAAGTCGCAAATATAATTAAGGATATTGATAACTCTAATAATAATAATAATAATAGGAGCAACAGTAATAGTTGTTATAATATAATTAAAGTTAAACATCTCAATACGTGTTCTAATATACATAGTAATTTTATTAATTTCGATAAAACAAATAAAGTACAACACAAATTAATGTATAATTATAATGATATAAATTTACTAAAATCAAAAAGAAAAACTTCTTTACCATCTTTGAGTAATTTTATTAATGAAGAAAACTGTATTCCGTTAGGAAATCTTGAGGTAATAAAAAATGAAAACAATAAAAATAATATGATTTATATAGATGAGCAAAAATGTTCTGATAAGCATGATAATACCAGCTTCCCCTTTGAATTTGAGAAAAAAGAGAAATTTAGAAATAGAACTTCTAATGAAAGCTCAATTGATAATTTTCCTGATATTCAAAAGAATTTATTAAGTGACTTAAATAAAAAATATGTTAATAATGATTCAAACATTAAGAGTAATTTTATTTTTCATTCAGACAGTAGCAGTGAATGTATAAATAAAAAAGTTGTAGATGATAATATATATTTACCTGATTATGATATAAAAAAAAAGAAAAATAATGAAAAGTGCAAAAATTCAAATATATTTTTTTGTCACAAAATGAATTCTATAAATGATTATATAACACCATACAATTCTAATTGTGATTCATATAAAAAATTTGAAGATAAATTAAGGAAAAATCGTGAGTTTAAAGAAAAAGAGTATTTAAAAAGCAAAGAAAATAGCGATTTTCATTTTTTAACAGATGAAAATACTGATGAATCTATGGAAAAAAAAATTTATTTTAATGAAATTAATTTGAAAAATACTAGAAGAGGAAAATTATCATCATCAAGAAATATTATAACTCTAGATCAAAAATTACATTTTAAAAAAATTGACAACAATATCTCTCTGGACTCATTAAATTGCAATAAAAAAATAAATTATGAAGAAGATGGAGTAAATTTAAGAAAATACAAAGTTACAGATAACTTGGAAGAAAATAGAAAAAATGAATTAAATGTGTTAAATGAAGATTATGAAAGTGATTTAGAAAAAAAAGAAATAGACGAATATAAAAAAAGCACTGAAATTAAAGAAATTATACGTACATATTTGCAAAATTCTAAAAATGTATATAACTTAAAAAATTCGGACAATTATAAAAAAGATGATGAACAACAAACGGAAGAATATAATCAAGATGAAAACACATTTATAAAGGAAAATAAAAATCAAAATAATAAAAAAAGAAAATCAAAAAATTATATACACAACTTCTCGAAAATGAATTTAAATAACAATGAAAAATCAAAATATATTGAAAATTGTGTAAATAATGAAAAATCAAAATATATTGAAAATTGTGTAAATAATGAAAAATCAAACTGTATTGAAAATTGTGTAAATAATGAAAAATCAAACTATATTGAAAATTGTGTAAACAATGAACAAATGAAAAATCAAAATTATTATGAAGAAAACAAAAAGGATAATTCCTTTGAAAAAAATATATCTGAAAATAAAGATATAATTAAAATTGAGTATGATGAGAAAGATGATTCTACATTTAAAAATAACAAAAATAACAATGGTAAATATTTAAAAAATGAGAAAAATAATTCAAATATTTTTTTTGTTAAAAAAGAACAAAAAAGAGATACTAATATATTGTGTGACCATCTAAGAAGGAGCAACAGGGTAAAAAATGAAAAAAATAAAAAGTGGAATAAAAAAAATGAAGATAATGAAAGATTTGTCTTTAAAAAAAATGTTAAATACAAATATAGTAAGATTAATGAAAAAGCTATTAAAAAAGAAGAAATATTCCAAAAAAAAAAAAAAATATCTAAAACACAACCAGTGGAATTAAAAATTTTTAAGGAACAAATATTTTTAAATGATAAGAATAAATTAAAAGAATTATGTCAAGAGTTTAATACAATAGATGAAAATAGATGTGCTTCGGGATTTGCAAATTTTTTAATGCAACACATTCAAAAAAAAGAAGATATGGAAAATTTTGATGATATACTAAATTTTACATTAAAATTAAAAAATTCTTATGATATGAAAACAGTAGATTTTATAGAAGCTTTTCTAATTCTTGAAACAATTGATTTAAGTGTTATAAGAATGTATCCAATTAAAGAATGGATATTAGTAACATTTCATTATTTAAAAGGGAATTTGACAAATAAAAATTTAAAGTTATTAATAAAATCATTGAAGTTAGATAATTTAATTATTAGTAATGTCACAGCGTGTTTTTATATGAATAAAAAACAAATTAAAATAACAGAGAAAGATATTAGGAGAATTTTTACCATATTGTCAGATATAGTAATAAGAAGATCGTCAAGAATTAAAAAATCTAAAAACTCAAATTCTAAAAATAAATGTAGAGATAAACAAAATAAGGATGAAATATTAGGCTCATGTTGGCATCCTGTTAATACAAATATTTCTACATATAAAAAATAAAATTAGACAAATTTAGTAAATTTTTAAAACAAATAAAATTTATGAAAATTATGAGACAATTGTCTTATAAAATTTTTTAAGATTATAATATAAAAATATATAAATTTTTTATATATTTTTTCTATTGATAATATATATATATATGTACATCCTTAGATAATAAAAAATAATGTCATAATATATTTAGTTACACTTTTATTATAATTTTCTTTAAAACCCCAAGGTTTTTTTTTTTTTTTTTATACTTTTTAACTCTTTTATTTTATAAATATACAAAATAAGGAATAATATTAAACATTTAAGGAAATTAAAAGAAAGAAAAAATATTTATTTAAATTTTTTAACAATTTTTATATTATTTCTTTCAATTTATAATTTTGTTTACTTAATGAAGAAATATATGTCATGTCTAATTTTCAAAAGATTAAATTTTGTTGAATACTTTACGAAAATAATTTGTCTACATTTTTTTTATTTATTTAAATAGTTAAAAAAAAAAAAAAAATTTTTTTTTTTGTAGCATAATTTATAGAATACGTATTTTTTATAAAAAAAAAATAGTGAAGAAAAATAAAATAAAACAAATTTTGTATATTTAGAAATGTAATTAAGAAGCCACAAAACCTATTATTAGTTAACTTTGTTTTCGATAAAAAGGAAAAAATATATTTTATAAAAATAAACTAAAAAAAAAAAAAAGTAGAAATGAGTGATAATGAAAATATAAGTAATTTAAAAGATGAATTTATTAGTTACTTAGAAGAGAATGAAGTAATAAATCATATAAGCAGAGTTCTCTTAAAGTTATACGAAGAAAAAGAAAAACCTGATGATGCTATTAAATTTATACGTGAAAATTTATACAGTACATCTGGTATATCCACAAAAGCTTTTTTTTTTTTTTTTTTTTTATATTTCTATATTTTGACATATGTCTTTATTTAAATTTTAGATCATTTTTCTTTTTAATTTTCCGTATGTAGATTAAGCATATATTTTAATTTCTTTTTTCTTCATCTCATTTTTCTGTTCATATTATTTTATCATTTCGCTTTTTATGTAGAGATATTCTAACTTTTCATTAAAATAATCTTTTAATTTTTATTTTTTACAATAGATATATCTCTAGAAGATTTAAAAAGAGAGAATTTATTTCTTCGTGAAGAAAATCAAAAATTAACGAAAAAATTTGAAGAATTAAATGATACATTAAAAAAGTTGGTTAGCAGCCAAAATAATATAACATATTGAAAAGTATGAGTTAATTTAAGGGATGGAAGAAAAAAAAAAAAAAAAAATTCTTAAAATTAACTTTCTTATAATATTTTTATATATTTATTTATTAATATTCAATCAAATGAAAAAATAAAATTCTTTCATGTGTGTTTTTAAATACAAATTAAACGAACCATAAGCTCTCATTATGATGATATATAATCTGTATTTATTATTATTATTTATTTTACTTTTTTTTTTTTTTTTTTTTTTTATTTATATTATATAAAAAAATACATATATCCTTCCAATATAAATTAAATTACTATGTTAAAATGATAAAATAATAACATACATATATTTAAATACTAATAAAATATATGTCTTTTAACAATTATTAAAAATTAAATATATAAATATATTTATAAAAGTTCCGAAATGGACTTCATAAAATAATCCGGTTCAACATTTAAATGATTATGATTTAGATATATATTGGAATTAGTTACACCTGTAGAAACTAAAATAGATTTAATTTTGCAATTTTTAGCGAAATTAATGTCTGTGTCTAGTCTATCTCCTATCATAACAACTTTTGATTTATCAACTTTCAAATCTTTCAATATATCTTCAATCATGAATAAATTAGGTTTTCCTAAAATTTTTGGCTTTTTAAGAGCTACAGCTTCAATACATGAAACAATAGAACCTGTTCCTGCCCATTTTTGTTTGGAAGTAAAATTTCCTGTAGAATCTTTATTGGATGCAATAAATTCAGCATCTAATTCATTTATACATAATTGAGCATATTGAATTTTATAATAATTAATATTAAAATCCATCCCAACTACAACTGCTCCTATATTTTCATCAACTTTTACTTCTAGATCATCTTTAATAATAACCTTTTTGTCATTATCATGAAAACCACCTACCCATTCAAGGTCATAAGAGTCTAACTCATCACATATTCCTTTTTCTCCAATCACATAAATTTTTTTTTTTTTTGAAGTATATTCTTCTTTATCATGAAAATATTTAGAAATTGCATAAGCAGTACATAGTATATTTTCTTTTTTAACAAAACTGAAACCTAATTTGTGAAACTTTTCTAAAAATTTTTCTCTTGATTTTGTTGAGTTATTTGTAATAAAGTAAACTTTTTTTTCTTCTTTTAATAAATTTTCAACTACTTCAATTGCTTTATCCATTAATACATCTCCGTGCCATAAAACACCATCGCAATCAAAAAAAAACACTTGAATATTTTTTAAGAAATCTTTTGCATTAACTAAATTTTTTATGTTCCATTCTTTCATGAACTTTTCATATTTTTTTTCAATTTTAATTAAGTCATCTTCATTGTTTCTACATGAATAAATTAATGACATATTTTTTAATATGCTTTTTTTATTTTATTCAATTTTTATTTGAAATCTAATGAAAATATATTTGCTATTATTTTAAAAAATAATAAATATATATATGTTTTTTTTTTTTGAATAAGGCAAAATTCTCTTCTGAATCATTAAATTAAAATATTATTTTTCTCATATATTATTCATACAAATTTAGTATAGATAGATGAACTATTCTTCAATTGTAATGTTATATATTTATGTGTATATAAATATTTTATTTTTATACTATTTTTGTATAAAAAAAAAAAAAAAAAAATCATATATATATATGAGAAAATGTATACATAACTATAATTTTAGTATTACATTAGAAGATTTATAAATTACGTTTTACTTAAGCTTTATTTTATGTTTACAAAAATATTAGAGGATGGTTCAATATAGTAATTAACAATATCAAAATATCATAAATAAATAAAAAAAATTTAGTATAAATATAAAAACGGAAAAACAAAATTTAAATGATAAAAATAGAAAACAGAAAGGAGAAAAAAAGAAAGTGAAATGAAAAATTGAATAAAAAGAAACGAAAAAAGAAATACAGAAAAAGAAAAATAAGGGGAAATCAATAAGATTACGATAAACGAAAGACGAAAAAAGAAAAACGAAAAATGAAAAATTAAAAATGAAAAATTAAAAACGGAAAACGAAAAACAAATAACATATAACAAAAAAACGCAAAATATGAGAACGGAAATGCTAAAAAGAAATGGAAAAAAAAAAAAAAACTTAAAAAAAAAAATAAATCAAAAATGTGCAAATTTATATAACAATATTTTTGAAATAATATGTGTCATGAATGTAATAAAAAAAAATTATTTTTACTAAAGTAATTTTATCTAAAAATATAGATTGAATAATATACGTACATTAAAATTAATAAAAAAAGTATTTACTATTCATAATATAAATAAAAATACCTCACCCAAAACTCTTATGTATTTTTTATTAATGAATTATTATTCTTATTTTTTAATTTAATTTTTATATGAATAATTCAATAATATATATAAAAAAAAAAAAAAAAAAATTGAAGATATTTTTAAATCGTGATGAAATAAAAAATTTACACTATTCTTTTTTAAAAAAAAAATAACCTAATTTGGAAAAATTTATGTAAATGATTTTTAAAGTACATTAATAATGTATGTCTATATTAAAATGTATCATTTTTTAGATTCTTTTTCTTAGACATTTAAAAATAAAACTATTTAGCATTAGGTAATTATTACTATTGTAAATACAAAATATAAGTTATTATATATTTTAAAATTTTTTTTTAAAGTTAATATTTATCATTTTAAATCTCTTTTTACATATAATAATTTTATAAGTTCAATATTTTTAGTTATAAAAGGTATATCCTCTTTTATAATATAAAAAAAAAGTTTTATGCAAAAGTTTCAAATATTTTATCTTGTTTATTTAAAAAAAAAAATATTACTCGTGTGTATCGATATAAATGTGCATAATGATTTCATCAGTTATATTCTTTAAAATGGATTGTAAAACTAATAAAGGAAATATAATTATAAAAGATAAAAAACAACAAATATTGTATATTTTAAAATCATTGGATGTATATTAAATTTTAACAATATGTCAATTAAAAATATTTTAATTTAATTTTCCATTATAAAGTTTGATTATTTTTTATGTATTTTAAGTTTATCTTTTATGAATCTGTATAAATAAAATAAAAATATAATAAATATTTATTTCATGAAAATTTTCACCAAAAATATAATTAGTTTATATTTAATTACAATGAATATAAGATTAAAAATGTAAAATTCGTAGTTAGATAATTTCATTAACTTTTTTAATTAAATTGCATAAAAATATATATATTAAAAAAAAAAATTTAATACATTTAAAGAAAAAAAAAATATATTAAAAATATACAAATTATTAAATAAATATTAAAAATAGAAAATTAGAGAACTATTACATGTATTATAAAAAATCATTTTTAAAATTTAGATCTGAAAGTTTTAATTTTTGTATTACCTGGATTATCTTTTAATTACATTTTTTTTTTTTTTTTTTTTGTGCATGTGGTAATAATATTTTTATTTTAAATAATATTCTATTATATTATTTTCATATCCTATAATTTATTTATATTTTTAAAGTTTCTATAATTTAAAATATTTTTTTTTTTTTATAAAATATATCATGATTTTTTTTATAATAGATATAATAAGAACATTTCTAATTATATTAATAAATAACGAAAAAAAAGTTTAAGAATTTTATTTATTTAAAAATAAAATTTTCATAAACTATCAAAGTTAAATTTTTCTTTTTGGGATTAAAATTTATAAAGTAAAAGTATTTTTTTAATTTAGTATTATAATATCTTTTTAAGTGTATTAAATTATGATAACGTGCCCGAGTGGTTAAGGGGTTGGACTGCTAATCCAATGGGTTCTGCCCGCGCAGGTTCGATTCCTGCCGTTGTCGTATATGATTTTAAATAAAATTTAATAAGTGTTTTTTAAAAAAGAAAAGTTTTATATATATAATAACGTAGTGGTAGTATTAACATTTTTTAATGTGGTCTAATGAAATACATTTAATTAAAAATCTTTGTAGATATATCATTGTTTTTCCTTTTATTGTTAAAGAGCAATACATAGTAAATTTTGTTAAAATGATTTTAAAGAATAATCAAAGAACATCCATATAAGGTATGACATGTATATTTACTACTACGAAAATGTAAAAATATAAATTATATATATTATTATATTAATACTATGTTGAGTTAATATAACTCTTTAAATTTTAAATATTTAATTTTATTTCAATACATTTTAATATTATATGATGTGAATATTAAATGTTGCAAAAAAATAATAAAAAAATTTAAATAATTACCTTTATATGAATCACTTAAATATTTTTCTTTTTGCAATTTAATTTCTCTAAAACTTTTTATAATAATTTAAAAAAAAAAAAAAAAAGAGATTAAAACAATATTTAGTAGTGTTTTAATATAAATTTTATAAGTATATTTGGTAAAAGCTCTTTTTATTTTCTTAAATATGATAGCTTAATTCGATATACAAAAATTTTTTTTCATTTATACTTCATATTCATTCTTTTATAAATTATAGAAAGTGTAAATTTACATTTATTAAAGAAGCTATAAAAATAGTAGCTCACAAGATATTTATCAAAAATGTTAAAAAGACAACATATTTCATATAATTTTTTTTCACATAATAAACATTCTATGTCTAGAAAAATTATTGTATTTTATATGTATTTTAATAAAATTTTAATTTTTAAAAACTTAATGAAAATTATTTTAATCATATTCTAATAATAGTATTATTATTGTAAAAATAACGAACAGTAAAATACTTTAAACAAAATCTCTTAAATTATAAATAGTTCTACGTTATATCAACATTATTTTAATTAATGTATTTTTAAAATAAGCAATAAATACTTAACATTCTTTAAATATAAAGAAAATAAAACTTTTAATTATAATAATAAAATTAAAATATTACATTATCTATATAAAAATATTTTAATATATCCATTTGCATAGTACTCTTAATAATGTTATAATATACATATGTATAATATTATAGTATTAATGTATTTTTAAATTATTCTAAAATAGATTTTTTTAAAATAGATTTTTATGCAATAAGAATATTTCAAATTACTTTTATATTCATATTAAATGACAGAAGTGGGGTTCGAACCCACGCCCTTGCGGACAACGACCTTAACGTTGCGCCTTAGACCACTCGGCCATTCTGTCAACTATTAAAATTGACATAAATATAATATAGGTATTTTTTATATTTTACAAATAAAAAAATTAAAATATATATATATATTTATATTTAATAAATATATATGACTTGTACATAATAAGTATATTGAAAATATATTATTTATATATAAATGTATTATATTAATAATGATTTTAATACATGATTTTTATTGAAAATAATTATAATTTTATAAAAAAATAGTGTGCGAAAAAAAAAAACTTATTTTCTAATTCTAACAACATTCTTAGAATGAAAAAATGTACATAAAAATTACTTAATATTAAAAAATTTTAATTTATTGCTTAATTTAAAAGGTTTTCAATGCCAAATAATATTATATATTCTTTGTGTTAACTCACATTTTTTTCTATATTTACAAATATGATAGGAAATTTTAAAATATTTGCAAAATGGTAATTATAGTATCTTTCTTTGAATGACTTCCTATCTATGTTAAATTAATAATTTTAAATATATTACCTAATGATATGAATTTTTATTAACAAAAATAATTTAATTAAAAAAATAATTTAGGATTGCTTTCTTTTTTCTATAAATGTTTTTGTTTGATTTTTTTCTTTTTTTAAACAATAAAAATATTATGCAGTTAATCTTTTTAAAATAAACAATTAAATATAACTAAAATAAATTTAATTTATTATAGTTCTTAATTTAATTCTATTTATGCTTTATACATATATACATCTTGTTGAAAATGAATTAAAAAAATATAAACTTAAAATTCTTTTATATCATTAATGTTAAAATATAAAATACTATTTCATTTATAATAAAAATACACTAAAATGTAAAAAAATTATACTCATAACAAATCATCAAATAATTATATTAGTTATGAAAATAATAAATTTATGAAGCAACTTTCTAAAAACGTATTATATATAGACTAATATATTAGTATAAAGTTGAACTAAAAAATTATTGATAAGCTTCATATGTTGTTCATTTACATCATAAATAAATTATTATCATTCATTCATCATATTTTTTTTCTAAAAGATAAAACAACTAATAGGTAATTGGTTTAAATTTTAATACATTATTAAAGAATTATTTTTATATAAAATAATAAAAGAAATATACCTTTTCTTTTTTTTGCTTAATTTTAGCTAATAATATAAAGTATTACTATGAAATAATTAATATATATTAGTGTGATAATAAATGATATGATTTAATTACCAAACAGTAGTTTAAAAAGATGATTAAATTTTCAGTGTTATTATATTGAATTAAATTTTAAAAAATTTATGATTTTCATTTATTCTACAAATAAATTAAAGTTATGAAAATATTTATTTTTAAAGTAAAAATATTTTATAATTCAACAAAATAATAATTTTTTTTTTTCTATAAAAAAAATAATATATAAAAATAACTTGTAATATTTATTTTTTTTCTCATAATAAAAAAAATAAGTTTTGGAATATAAAAAAAAAAAAACTCCGAGACCGGGAATTGAACCCGGGTCTTCCGCGTGACAGGCGGAAATACTTGCCACTATACTATCTCGGATTCAAACATCTTATGTTTTTGATATGTTATAATATTTTTTTCTTATATTAAAAAAAAAATTAAAACATAATGTAAAACTAATTTTTAAGCAATAAAAACATTTTTTTTTTTTTTTAAATTTCTTAATATTGATATTTATAAATTACTTAATTGATATATGTTATAAAAATATATTTTAATATTACTAAAGTAAAAAAAAAAAAAAAAATTAAAGCTATATTAGTTTATCAATACAAACTTACAGTCATAACAAACGGTATTAATAAGTAAATATTTTTTTTAAAAAAGGGTTTAAACTATTTTAATAAAAACGAATTAATTTATTAGAAGTGATAATAAAAATACCATTATATTACGTAATTAAAATGCCATGTTAAATTTAACCTTTTAAAATTTCATATATAATTTACATGAAATCTTTTTTTTTTTTCATTAAATTTAATCTATTGTAAGAATAAGATAAAATACAATATAAATTAAATTCGTCTAGAAAAAATAAATATTAAATATAAAAATTCACAAATTCTAAAATCCCTTGAAAATATTAAAAAATTATAAACTCTTATAAGATATAAAAATATTAAGTATAAAATATATTCAATCTTTCACATAATATGCTTATAAATATGAGAGTCATGAAGATTGAAAATATTTAATATATATAAACATAAATATACGTACAACAATTAAGAATTAATATATTTATGTTTTTCTTTATATTTTTACATTGAACTAAACTATATGTGTACAACAATAAGTTAATTTATTATATCTTTAAAAATATTTACTTCAAGCATTGCAATGGTAAATATATAAATTATTTTCAACTTTTCCTTTTAAAGTGTGCTTTTCGAAGTTATGTAGAAATGTATAGGATAAATTAAAACTTACACCTTTTATATATATACATATTAATTACAAATAAATAATTTAATGTTTTTCACAAGTTGAATTATTAAGTTTTATAAAATGAATTCTTAAATTTTTATATTTATCTGATATGTCAAAAGAGCATTCCATTAGTTGTGTAGAAGGAAAAAAAAAAAAAAAAAGATATAAATATTCATAACTCAAATTTTGTTCGAATTAAACAAAGGAATTTAAGAAAAGGGTTATAAAGCATACATTTGTAAAAAAAAAAAAAAAAAATTTAAATTTTATAAGATATAAAATATATTTAAAAAAGAAATCAAAATATTATGTTTAATACTTAAAAATTTTCTGATGTAAATTGACTTTTTTTATTTATTTTTTTTTTTTTTTTGTCTGATATGTATATATATGCTTATATAATTAAGCTTTAAAAAAAAAAAAAAATTATATTTTGTTACCTGTTTTATGAAATTTATCATTCACATGTTCTTTTGTATTTTTTATTAAGTTTTTATAATCCTCTTTTTTTATAAATTTATTTATACACAAATCTGTTTCTCTGTCAAAAGTTTTTCTTTCATTAGGTTTACTTTTGGAGTTCAATAAAAATTTTTGTTCTTGTTCATTTTTACCCCATAAATCAATTTTTTTATGTTTTTCTAAAAATTCTTTATATTTTTGTTGACTATTTTTAAAATAACCTTCTTCATGCATCTCTCTCAAACTTATAACTTTATCATTTGCATTTTGCATTAAATAGGAATAGTCTTCTTGTAAATCGTTCAGGAATTGATTTTTATAATTTATATTTTCATTATTTGTAGAATAATCTGATAATGCATTATTATCATTCATTATGTCAGGATTCTCCTTACTTTCCTTCTTTATTAAATTATTCTTCCTTTTATTAATATTTTTTCTCAACTTTTGTATATCAATTTTAGATAAAAAAAAATAAAATAAACTATTAAAAATATCTAAAATACTTTCCCTAAAATTTGATGGTTTCCTGTAAAATTCCTCTTTTTTTTCTAATCTCCAAGCTCTAAATAAATGTCTTAATTTTTTTTTTAGTTTTAAATCTTTCACATTTTCAAGAGAAATCTTTTTTTTTTTATCTAATTTCTGATATAAAATTTTTAAATTATTTAAAAAATTGTAGTTTTGTAAAATATTTATGGTTAATCTTATCATTTCTTTACTATCATATATATGAGCATCATAAACTACCTCTTTGTCTAATTTGTTTCTAATCTCTTTTTCTTTTTCTTTTTTTTTTTTTTTTTTTTTAATTTGAGCATTATTCTTTTTTTTTTTTTTTGAATTATTTTCTTCTGATGAAGAACTACATATACTTTCTTTATCTGAGAAATTATTACTTCCATAAGAAGAATAACTACTTGAATTACATTCACTAGAAGAATTATTTCTTAAACTATTTTCATCTAACGAATAACTATGGCTGCTATTTTCATTTGATGAATTACTACTACTACTACTACTACTATTTTTATAAGATGAACTTTTACTCTTACTCTTTTCAATTGGTGAATTACTACTGCTACTACTTTCATTTATTGAACTACTATTGTTGCTATTTTCACTTGAAGAATATTTACTTGAGAAGCTTTTTTCATCTGAAGAGCTTAAAGATAAGTATTTATTTTTACTAGATTTTCTGTCATAATTCTTTTTTCTTCTTTTTAAGTTTTCTTTCTTTTTTAATTTTTCATTGCTGATATAATCTTCCTTTCTAGAGTTTGGTGACAATTTCCTTTTTTTTTTTTTGATGTAATTATTTTCATTTTTATCATATTTTAATTCATTAAATGTATCACTGGTTTTTTTTTCGTGCTTATTAAAAGGTATATTACTAATATCTTCTTTGATTTTTTCTTTTTTAAGATTTATCTCATTAGGTATATATTTTTTATTTTCTAAATATTTATTATGAATATATTTATCATAATTACAATTTTTTACGCTATTTGAATTAGATATATCATCTCTTTTAGAGTTCATTTTTTCTTGTTTATCTTCTTTGTATTTTTTTTTTATTCTATTTCTACTATGGTAAGAAGAATTTGTTTCTTCTGATGATTCACAACTTTTCCTAATAATCTCCTTACTTAAATAATTATTATATATTTTTTTTTTTTCTTCTTTATATTTCAATTTATCTTTGCCATTTTTTTCATCACTACTTTTTTTGTACTTACAGCTACTTACATATTTCTTATGATATTTATCTATTTTCTCCAATTTTTCTTTCATTTTGTATTTTATGAATATTTTTGTTTTCTATACTTTTTTAATGTATTCATATTTATAATATTTAAAATATTTGTATATATATATATATACTTCACAAAAATCATCTAAATATTTTCTTCTTTTAACTCATTAATAATATTGGTTTTTATAAAACTTTAACATTTTTAAAAATGCTCTCAGAAATAAAATAATAATATTAATGATTTCTTAAAACTAAAAAAAAAAATAAATAATAATAAAAGTAAATAATAACTTTCTTCTATTAAATGAGAGAAGACAATAAATATATGCGTAAAGTTAAAATGTTCTCATTTCTTTTTCAAAAGATTATAAAAAAATAAAATTATTACTTAATGGATATTATAATAAAAAAGAAAATTTTCTTTTTCTTTTCATATATAACATCCCTTAAATAATATTAAAATGTATGAACTTATTAAATAAAAATAAAAATTAAATACGTATAATAAATAAAAAAAAGAATCATATGTAAAATAAAAAAAAGAAAAAAAAATTTGTTGTGCAAAATTTTATAGCAATTTAAAAAAATATAAAAACAAATATAATGTATGATTAATATTAAGAATTCTATGAAAAAAAAAAAAAAAAAATAGAAGAAATTACATATATATATATATCTCTTTAATTAATATATGAAATAAAATATGGCTATACGAACTTTCATAAAATCAGCATTTATAATTTTTGATTTCAAAAAAAAAAAAAAAAAAAAAATTAGTATATAAAATTAAAAAGATAATAAATGATAAATAAATCCGTGTAATATATATATATAAAAAAAAAAAAAAAAAAAAAAAAAAAAAAAAGTAATTGCAAATAATTTCAATGTATAATTTATTTATCAGATACTATAAATATATTTATTTATATTTTTTAAAGCTGTATTATGATTAATATTAAAAGTTTTAAAATAAATAGATAAATTATTAAATTGATAATTTTATAAGATATTGTGAATTTATTGTATTTTTTTTTATTATTTTATTTATTTTTTTTAAAATTTCCATCTGTTGTTGCATTTTAAACATGTTACAAAAGTAGTCATTGGTTCATCGCTACTTCTAGTTTGTAGTTGATGGTATATAGTATCATAACCTTTGCATTTATAACATTGAAATTCTCCTTTTCTAGATTTTTTTAGAAGAATATTTTTAACATCCCAATCTGATTGGCAAGCTATTAAACTTTCTTGTAAACATTTTTCTCTTTCATTTTTCTTCTCATCACTTGCCATATCTTGAGAATTCATTGTTACTAATTCTTTTGGAGAAATAATTTCTTTATATATTTTTTCGTTAAAATTAGGGTTTTTTTTATCACTTAAATTAAATTTAATTGATTTCAATTGCATATTATATTCTCTTTGTGAGTTCCTTTTCTGAATGTAATATTTTTGTAACTCATTTTCTATATCATATATAATTTCATTTAATTTTTTTCTATCAATAATATATAGCAGATTATCACTTGATCCTATTAGAAATGCTTTGAATAAAAATTGTTTTGCTTTATCTCTGTGAACATCATTGTGTAGTTTTCCTTCATAATTCCATTCATTAAGTGTTTTTAAATCAGTAATTTTATGATCTTTAATATTTTTATCATTATTAAAATTAGAGTTATTATTTTTCCCATCAGTATTTATGCCATTAGTATCATCATTTTGTTTTTCTACATTATTTTCATAGCAATTATTTTGTTCTTCTTTGTCATTATTCTCTGAGTTATCTAATGAATAATTTTTATTAGAATCATTTTGAGCTTTTATTTTTTTTGATTCATATTCATCCGACCGAGTATCACCACTTTCAACAATTTCAGATTTTCTTTTTTTAATATTCTCTATATTTTTAATATTAGAAATTTTTTCATTTAAAGCTATATTTTTCCATTTTTCTACAAGTTCTTTTGCTAAATTTTGTATTTCTTCATTATTTATTTTTGTAAATTTATTAACAGTTATTCCAATTTTAGTTGATTTTAAAATATTTTTATTTATCTTTACGTTTTTCAATAAATTTAAATCTTCATTAATTTCTTTTATAAGAATAGAATCTATATTCTCACTACTTGCATCTGCTAATTTATCTTCCTTATCTTTCAATCTCTCTTGAATATTTTTAATATATGTTATATTTTCTAATTCATTCATGTTTCAAAAAAAAAAAAAAAAAAAAAAACTAAAAACAATTTAAATGCTATAAATACATAATTATTTAAAAACTCAAAGGCAATTTACAATAATTTTTTTTTTTTTTTTTTTTATTTACTTTGTATGTCTAAATATATAATTTTGCATAATTATAAAAATATATATATATATATATAAATATATGAAAATTTAAAAAAAAGTAAGAATAAAAATGAAATTATAATTTTTCAATAATATATATATATATCATTTATTTATTTATTTATTTATTTTTTTTTTTTTTTTATCTAATTTCATAGTTTCCATTGAAAAATATATATATAATTTTGTATTTAATACAATTTAAATATATGTTAGTGTATATATATTATTTATTAAAAAAACAATTTATATCTATAAGAAAATATAATTTTAATAAAATTATGAAATAATTTTTTTTTCTCTCTTTTTTTTCTTTTTTTCGACATTTTTCTTTATGTATCAGAATAAATTACATATATTTTTTTAACTTTCATTTAAATTATTAACAAAATTTTCTTTTAAATTTACTTTTATTATCATTTGTCTATAACAAATAAAAAAAAAAAAAAATTAAATAAAAATAATAATAAATAATTTTAAGTAAAATTCATTTATCAATATTTTTAGTTTTTATTCCACAAAAATAATTTTTATGAAACACATAACAATTTAAAAAAAAAAAAAAAAATAAATAAATATTTAAGAATAAATAAAAAAAAATTAAAAAATATTTTTATAAACTGAAAACTGTTACTTTTATAATTTATATAGGTTAAAATTTTTCAAAAATTTTTTTTTTTTTTTTTTATGAAGAAAAACAAGTAAAATTTTCTTAAATAGTTTAGAACTTTAAGCATATTTTTATAGAAACTTAATAAGAGAATAATTAGATTATATATATATTTTATCTAGTTATATATAAATCTTATATAGAAAAAATATATATTTGTTTAAAAAATAGTTGTAAGATAATTAGTCATATTGTTTGAATCTCTTTCATATAGAAAAAAAAAAAAAAAAAATAATAGTAAAATTTTTTTTTTTTTTTTTATAAAAATATTCTTTAAAGCATATATTGCTTTTTATTTAGAAAAAGAAAAAGTTCCTTTTTGTTATTATGTAACTTTTAAATGATTCCTAGCGCAAAACCAATGAATAATGTTAAAATTTTTTTTTGTAACAAAAATAAATACAAAAGAAAAAAATATATGAAAAGAAATTTAATACATAATGGAATATGAAGGTGAAATTTTTCATTTAACTGAATACCAAATAAAAAAAAGCATTAAAGCTTTCAATTACTTAGATAAAAAAAAAAAAGGGCTACTAAAATTTGAGTATATATAAAAAAAAAAAAAAAAAAAAAAAAAAATATATAGATAGCTTATATGAAAACTTTAGGAAATAAAAAAAACACAAATAATAGATACTTAGTAGTTACTAAAATAGGAAAAAAAAGAAAAAAAATTTTATGTATATACATAATAATTTAAGTTTATTAGGGAATCTATTACGATGTTGTGGCTATAATGTGTCATTAAAAGAAATTGAAAAGATAAAAGAAAAAATAATAGAAATGAAAATTATAGAAAAAAAGAAAGAACAAAAATCTAATGAAGAAGTAGAAAAAAGAGAAAAAGATATAATAATATATAATGAAAATGACGAATTAAGCAATAATAATCAGTTTAGTCAAAATGATATAACAAATGATGATAACAACAATATATCACAGTTACTTAGTAATTTAAAGAATTATGATAATTTTATAGAAATAGAAAAGAAAAAGGAAGAAATTAAAAAAGAAGAAGAAAAAAATAAAAATTTATTTAGTTTAAAGGAATACTTCAGAATTATTCAAATACCAAATATAACTAATGAAATAAAACCACCAAATATTTTAGATGCTTTTGAAATTTTTGACGAACAAGGAAATGGAAAAATATCAATAAAAAAATTGAGATTCATCCTACAATACTTAGGTGAACCATTTAGCAATTCAGAATTTGATGAGTTTTTTGAATGGATTAAAACAGTAAAAAAAAATAAAAAAAAAAAAAAATTTACATGTATATTTATTTAATTAAAAACTCCTTTAAGTTTTAAAATAAAAATATATTATGAAAATTCTTCATTTTAATAGTTAGACAAAGTATATAAAAATGACTATATAATATATGAAGATTTACTAAATGAATTAATAAATAAGGATTCAAATATATAATGTTAATATCGTATAATTAATACAAAAAAACAACAGTTTTAAATTACTTAAACATATGACATTTTTTCCTAAAGTTATAATATATTTGAATTAATGAGTAAAAAAAAAAAATTTTTAATTATGATTATTATTCATTTAATTTTATTTATTATTTATTTCATAATATGAAGTTATAAATTGAATTTTTTAATACAACATTTAAAAAATGTATATAAAAAGGAAAAAAAAAAAAAAAATTGCATATATATATATATATAAATATATATAAAATTAAAAACAAATAAAGTTTCGGATTATTATAAAATAAAAGATAACAATAATAATGTTCCTTGACATAAACATATAAAAAGAAATTAATAGTAGTTCATGTCAGTATAACAAAATTTATTTTTTTCACAAAAAATCATAAATATTATTTTCAAAATTATACTAAAAATAAAATAAATGTAAAAAGTAATAATTATAAATACAATTATTGTATAACTAAAAATATTATATCAATCATTATCATTATTAGAAGGTATATGTATACATTTAATTATTAATGCAAAAGTTGTAAAAATATTAAAAAGTTTTGACACGTTACTTTTTTTTTTAATATCAGAACGGATTTCACTTTGTTTATTTTTGTGAATTAAATAATTAAGTAATTTTAAGTTATCAACTTTACTAATATTTTTTATTTTAGTAAAATATACAGTTTTAAAATCAATATTTTTATAGTTTCCTAATACAATATTGTCATTAATGGTATTTAATACATCTGTGCATTCCTTATTATTACAAAATAAGTGAATATTTGTATATAACCTTGATAGAGGTTTTTTATTTATTTTTTTAAATTTCTGGTTATACAGATCTGTGTGTTTCATTTCATAAGTTTCACTAAATTTATCTAATTTATAACTATCTTTACTAACGAGATATATTCTATTTAATTTCATAGCATTTCTTTTATTTCTTTTTTCTATTCTTTCTAATAAATTAATTGATTTACATTTCTTTTTTTTTTGCATATCTAATATAATATCATTATTAATTTTTTCCTTTTTTTCTTTTGGTGTATTATATATACTTATTACTACATCTTTTTGTAGTTTTACCTTTTCATTCATTTCTGTACTATTGTAATTTTCTTCAGTTACATATTTCATTTCTTCATTAAAATTTTTTTTTTTTTTAAATTTTTTTTTTTCTAAATTAATAAAACTCTTTTTTTTATTTTCACTACAGCATTTTATTTTGTAATATATTTCACTTTTATTCTTTAAGTTTTCTATAAATGAAAATCCTTTTCTATATAAAATAGGATTATTTTTTTTTTTTTTTCTTACGTATATATAATTATTAAAGCAATTAAGTTTAGTTTCATACTTAATTTTTTTTTTTCTAATTTTTTCAGATTCTTTAATTTGATAAATTATTTTTCCTTTTTGTTTCTCTTTCATTTTTTTTGAATATTCTCTATTTTCTTTTTTTATATTTAACTTTATAATATAATCATCCTTTTTCAACATATTTTTTTCCATTTTAGCTATTTCTTTTTCTTGATATTCACTAATCTCATTATCCATTTCAATATCAGTACATTTTCTTCTTTCTTTTTTCATTTCTTTATTATATTTGTTCTTAGTACTAGTGATGAATGGAGTTCTACTTTTGATAAACAAAGCACCAATGTTATCTAAATTAATTATATGCTTATGAGACAAAACATTTTTTTCTTCAAAATCTTCATTTATATGCTCAGAATCATTATTTTTTTTTATTTTGGGAAGTTTAATTTTTGTATATTTTACATTCTTATTTTTATCAAATTTTAAATGTGCTGATTTTTCTATTGCTTTATTAGATATATTACTTACTTTTGTAATCTCATATTCTTCATTTTTCTCTTTATTTATTTTTTTCTTAATGTTATATGATTTTATTTTAGTTTTACTATCATGAGAAGAAGAAATGTAATCTTTACTCGATTTATTTTTTTTGGATAATTTATTATTAATTGAACGTATTTCTTTAGAATTCGAATTTCTTTTAGCTTTTTTTCTATTATCAAATGAAGAATTTTCTTTAATATCTTCTTCTATATTTACTCCTTTATCGCTTAAAATTAAAATATTATGATAACAATTTTTGTCTACAACTTGTAATTGTGGGTTAACAAAATTGATGTAGGATGGTCTTGTTTTTGTAAATAATATTTCCTTAATATTATTTAAGATTCCTATATTAAAAGGGTTATCGTTTTGATAAAACGTTTTTATTTGTTCATAAGTCGTTTGATTAGTTACAATTGTATAAATGTGATAACATAATAAACCAATAACAAACCATAAAGTTAAAATAGTATATATAATTAAAATTAAACTATCTGCAGCAAATCTCCATATATGAATAAAAATCTGTTCAGTATTATATCCTTCATCTGATAATTTATTTATACATATTACTAACTTGTAAATACTTGCACTTAAAGTTATACATATCAGGATATATAAATTCAAAACAAAAAATACAAAATATTTGTAATTCCTTGCACCTATGCAATTTCCAACCCTTCAGAAAAAAAAATAAAAAAAAAAAAAAAAATAAATAAAAATAAAAAAAAAATTAAAATATATTAGAAAAAAATACAAATAAATAATCGTATTTTACCATGGACAATGATGATCAAATTTTTCAACACAATTATCACATATAGAACAATGTACAGTTCTTAATCCTCTATATATATTACAAGTATAACAATATTTTAATTTATAAAAATTTCCATTAATTAAAACTTCTTTTTGTCTAGGTGGTTGTGTTTCTCTATATTGTTCAATGATAACATCATATAAATTTAAAACAGATTTCTATATATAATCATAAAAATTAAAATTATTTTTAAGATTTTTACATAATATATATTTTGAATAAAAATAATAATGTTAAATCAAATTAGGTATGTAAAAATTTATTTATAAAATATTTATAAAAATTACTTGTCTTGGTATTATACCAGGATCCATAAAACTTGTTTTAAGAAAAGCATAAATTGTTAAAATAAAAAAAAACAAGTTTAAAAAAGTTACAAAATAAATATCTTTTTCAAAAAACCACTAAAAAAAAAAAAAAAAAAAAAAAAAAATTTTATTTATATATTTATAAATGTATATAAATTTTACTTTATAATATTTATTATTAAAATTAATAAATATAAAATATAAAAAAATTCTTTTTTTATTTTTTTTTTTACTAAATATAATTTAATATTACTGTTGAAGTAAATGCGTGAAAAATACTAACAGGAATAAATATCATAAGAAAAGATGATATTACTGTTAAAAATGCAGGTCTAAACAAAAAGAAATAAAACAAAATATATATTTAAATAAATTAAAAATTTTTATTTATACTAATAATTACCCTGATATAAAAAAACCTTTACAGTGAATTTTATTTTCTCCATATATTTGGACATTATTTATCTTATCAAAATTTTGCCTTTCTAATGACTTATTTCTTTTAAGTATTTTCATTTGTTATAATTAATTCATTTTTCTTAAAAATAAATATAAAACTTGAAGTTTTTAATTTTTCATTTGCGTTTTAACAAAGTAATCATATAATTTAAAAAAATAAAATATTAAAATATAAAAAGAAAAAAAACATGGAAAAAATATTTAATTATAAAAGATTTATTATAAATAAGCAATTTTAAATATAAAATGTTATTTCAAAAAAAAAAAAAAAAAATAAAAAAAAAAAAAAAAAAGGAAAAAAAATACGTCATTATTCTTTTAATTTTTTAATATATTAACAAAAATATTTTATAATGAATTCCTTTTAATTTTTCTACTATAATTAATATTTATCAAACAAAATACATTATTCTTAATTGTTCTTTTTTTTTTAATATTAAGTCAATTGCATTCAATTTGTAAAAGATATGGTTTCAAGAAAATATATATTGTTTAAAAATTATTAATTCTAAAAACAGTATTGTCACTAATTTAATTTTATAAAAAAATTAATCTTAAATTAATATTTTTTTTAAAATATTAACATTTACTATAAATCATTTATAAAAAAAGATATATATAAATATATATATATTATATACATTCTTATCCTATAAATAAGAAATATTGTAAATATATAGATATGTATTTTTATATTAAATTTTTTTTTTTTTTTAATATTTAAATAGTTAGGTATAAAATATTCAATTAACCATATATAAATTAAAATAACTTTGAAATATTATGCGTGCTTGTGCATTATTATCATAAAACTTTCTCTAGTTTATTCTTTATATAAATCATTGAAAAGAATAAAAAATAAAAAATTAAATATTGACATTCTTAAGGTTTATTAAACTATTCAGCAAAAAAAAAAAAAAAAAAAAAAAGAAAAAAGAAAAAAAAAGGAACTCATGGAGAAATTACAATTTTTAAAAACTTCATAAAAACACAGAAAAAAAAAATATATATATATTTATATATATATATGCAAATACAAATAGAAGGGTATACAAATATAAAAATTTAAATAAAAATAATTTTATAAATAGATTTAATAAATATTATAAAAAATATTCAATATAAATGAACAACAAAAGTAGTAAATATTTCAAAGTATAAATATAAAAAAAAAGGAGATAAATTACAAAAAAAAAAAAAAAAATAATAAATTAATATATGTTTTTATATAAAAAAAAAGCAAAAGAAATTTGTAATTACACACAAAAAATAAAGATAAAAAAAAAAGTTAAAGATAAAAATAAAATTTAATTTTCTAAAAATAAAAATAAATTTCTCGTTTTTCCTATGAGAATAGATCTTCTAGATTCTTTTTTGTTTTTGTTTTTTGTAATTTAGATAAATTATAAGGAACTTCACTTTTTGTATTTAATTTAATTTTATTTTTTGAATACATATTATTAGTGTTGTTTTTGTTTGTATTAATAGTGGTACTATTAACTCTTCTTAAATTGGAATTTTTATTATAATAATTAGAAATAATATTATTCGATGAATCATCTATTTGAAGATTATCATATTCTTTTATATAATCATTTTTATTATTTTCATTATTAAAATTATAAAATAAATTATACTTATTATTTGTATCTCCATCTTCTCTAGAATCATAAGAGTCTTTTTTTTTTAAGAAACCATAATTTTTATAATTATTCATCCTTATATTTTCATCTAAATCAAAATTATTTACATTCATTTTATTTAAACAATTTATATCATGTGTATAATTTTTACCATTTTTTTTTAATGTTGAAATTTCATGTGTGTTGTATTTATTTTTATTATTATTGTTGTTATAAGAGAAATTATTATTTATTTCTTCATTAGATATATTGTGGTTTTCTTCTTTTGGTTTTATTGAATCATTCATTTTTGTATGATCAAAATGAATTAATTCTTCTGTTGATTCAGATAACTTTTTAAAAGGATATGTTATGCTATTTTCTTTTTCATAATTGAAATTTTTACCTTTTTTCTTTACTTCATCATTTTCAGTAAATCTTAAATTATTATTAGGATGAATTTGTTCACTCATCATTTTTATACATTTATTTTCATGTTCATTTTGTTGTTTTTCATTACTCTCATTAGTACAAGGAAAATTATCTTTTTTATTGAGTAAAGGATGATAAGAATAAATAGAACAATTTACTATATTTTTTTCTGTATTTTTATTGTAATCCTTATTTTCAAAATTATATATATTATAGCCATTTGCTATGTTAAAATTATGTATGTCACCGTTATCTATAATGTTACAATTATTATCATCAACAATATTGCTAGTATCATTATTACAATAGTTATTGTTATTATATTTATCATTTTCATACATTATGTTGTCTTTATTTTTATAATAGTTATTCATGTTATTATCTTGATTATTTCCAACATTATAGTTATTGCAATTATCTTTATTAACAACATTTACTGAATTTCTATTTGATTCATAATTTAAGTTATCTGTATTACCACTAAATATATTGTTATTATTATCAATATTATTATTATTATTATTATTATTATTATTATTATTATTATTATTATTATTGTATATATTTGACTGAAACTCTTCCCTTTTATCGTCATTAGTAGTAAATGTTGGATGATTAAAGTCATATACATTATTGTTATTTGATATATTTTTTTGATCAAAATTTATATAAGTATTATTATTCTCATCATTTACGTTATTAGTGATAACATCTATGTCACCCCTCTCAATTTTTACATTATTTGATGAATTAATCAAATTATAAAAATATTCCCCATTTTCATTAAAATTATCACTTCCATTTTTTTTCCATAACTCCGTATTATTAATAAAATTATCACTTAAATTTTTTTTTTTTAATTTTTTATCAGATATATTATTTCTAAACTTATTTTTTGTTTTATTATTTACATATTCAACATTCTCTGTATTTGATTCCAGATATCCATATACAGATTCATTACTACTTTTTTTCTTTTCGTTGTTAATATTTATGTTATTATCACTTAAACTAGAATTTATGTTTTGAGATTTTTTATTATGCATTTTGTTTTTGTTATAATGTTCTACTTCTACATTTGTATTATCTATTATATGCCTATTATTTTCATCCAAGAACTTTTGAGGTGTATTATAATCATCATTATTATTTAAATTTCCATTTGTCATATTATCAGAATATTTTTCATAATTTTTAATATTATTTTTTTGGAAATAATTATCATTCATTGTTTCATCATATATGTTATCTATTTTATTATCCATTAATGTACTATCTAAATCTCTTTCGTTATTCGTGATATAATTCACTTTATTATATTCTAATCCATCATTTTGATAAAGTTTAATATTAGTGTTTATATTATTTTGATCGTTATTAATATATTCGTCATTATTATCTGTATTATTAGCAAAAGACTTGTGACTTTTAATTTCATCTTCCTTTTCATCATCAGTTTCAGAAAATTTTTTGTTTATAATACTTAATTCTTCTGGATAATTTTCTTCAAAGTTAAAAAAATTATTTTGATAAATATTTGCATTAATGTTATAAATCATATCATCTATATTATTTATATCTTTATTTACATTGTTTAATACGTTAATTAAATTGCTATTGTTATTAATTATTTTTTCTTCTTTTTTTTTTTTGTCCTTTTTAATTTTCGTAATTTTTTCTACCATATTTATGCAATCATTAATTTTATCACTAATTGGTTCTATAGAATTTTTTATTTCATTTTCTTTTAACTGTTCATCTGGTTCTTTTGAATAACTTTCTTTTCCTTTAGCTGTATTCAACAAATCCTTAAAATTGTGAATAAAATTATTTTTATAACTGTTAATGGTCTCATTTATTTGTTCATCTAGTTGATTTCTAAATTTGTTAAAAATGTTATCCAATGAAAATTCTTCTGTATCACTTAAACTACCTAAGGATAGGGATTTTCTTGAATTAAGGAATTCTTCTTTATATTTTTTTTCTAATTTATTAGAAATCTCTTCCGTTACTTCTTTTTTAATTTGCTCTCTAATTTTATTGATATCATTTTCATATAAGAAATTTTTATTTAAATCATTTTCTTTATTGATATTTAAAAATCGTCCTTTAGATTCATCGGATGAATTACAATTATTTGTTAAATAGTCATCTGTTTGAACTTCATTATCAACTAATTTTTTTTTGTAAGAATGTCTAGATGGTAATTGTGAAGTATAATTTATTGATTTATTTGATTTTATTTCCTCAATTTCATCTGGTTTTATCTTTTTTTGATCATTACTCTTTAATATTTCTTCTTTTATTCTTTCTTTCGAATTTGAGATATTTGCAGGATTTTGATTAATGTTATGATAACTTTCTTTCATATTTTTTAATTGTGTTTTAAGAATAACATTTTCGTTATTTAAATGATTATTTTCATTTCTTAATTTAAGAAATTTTAAATTTAACATATCTATTTTTTTTTTATATAAATCAATAGAATGCTTGTATTCTTCTTGAATATTTTCTGATTTATTATCATATTTTTTTACTCTATCAATTAATTTGAAAAGCAATTTATTTTTTTTATCATTTTCTTGAGAGATATCATCTTTATCTTGATTAATTAAATGTTTTAGTAACTCAATAGATTGTTCTACTATTTGAGAATTAGCTTGTGTCTTAAAACTATCAGTAGATTCAGCAATTGAAAATTTTTCTATATTCTTTTTTTTAAATGCATAAAAAGAAGAACATGATAATTTATCATCATTATTCCTATATATATTTGATGTTTTAGATAATGTAGGTCCAGAAATATTTATTGATTGCGATCGTGGAGATTTGATTTTATTAGAAACATTATTTCTATTTAAACTTATATTATTATAAAATTTATTTGAGTAAAAATACTGATTATCATATTCATTATTGCAATCATTAGCTTCTAATTCTGTTAAATCATAATTTATATTTAAATTTTTTTTCTGAAGTAAATAATTACTGTTACTAAAGTTACTTTCATTTTTATCTTCAATCAAGTTATCCCTAGTTTTTTTAATAACTTCAGATTTTGTACTTCTTATATTAGTTTTATTGGAAAAAGAATTCATTTTTAGAATTTTTATTTTATTATTATTGATATATATGAAAGTTATATTTCCTTAAATTTATAAATTATATTTTGTTTATCTAAATCTTCTGATATCTCGTACATATATTTTCTTTGCATAAAGAATCTGTGTTATTTTAAAAATTTTGTATATCTGTTTTCTAATTGTATGAAAAAAATTAAAATGGTAATATTATCTTATAAATTAAAAAAAAAAATATACATATATATATATATATTAAAAATTATTCATTTTTTGAAAAAAAAAAAAATAAACAAAAAAATTATTATCAATTTTTTTCTTTTAATTTTTATTATAAATAAATAATATCCCATCAGGAAACAAAAAAAAAAAAAAAAAAAAAAAAAAAAAAAAAATATATATATATTTGCACATTTCATGTAAATTAAAAAAAAAAAAAAAAAAAAATTGTGTATTTTTAAAATTACAGAAGCATGAATATTTTGTTTCAATATATTGTATATAACTTAAGGTATACAAAAATAATTTCAATATAAATATATTGAAATTATTTTCTTTTATAATATTGTAAATGATAGTTAATCAAATAAAGTCAAAATAATATAGTAATAAATCATTATATAATATGATGTTGAAAGAAATAAAAAATGAAGGTATATCAAAACAAAACTCTAAAAAGGTTACATTTCATTATTATAAAGTTTTAATGTCAACATATTTTACCTTAGAAAATTTTTACTTTTCAAATATAATTCTAATTAAAAAAAAATATAAACAAGTGCCATTTTTTGTATATATATAAGGAGAAAAAAAAGAAAAAAAAAAAAAGAATTAAAAATATATAAAAAAATGATATATGTATATAATAGAATTAGTAATATTAGCATCTGATAGAAGAATATAATAGAAATATTATATTTTGCTTTTTTAAAAATATTGTAATCTATTTTCTCAATGAATCAATAACCATTTCTGAATTTATCTTTTTTCTTATTAAGATTAAATAAGAAAAAAAAAAAAAACAAACAATATTTATATATATAACAAATAAATTAAAATTGATAATTATTTCTAATTTACAATTATTTCTTATATTATTAAATATTTCTAAAATGAAAAGTGATAAACATATAAATAATAATTTTTGAATATAAAGATATTTTTTTTTAATATTTGTTTAAAAATAGAATTAAATTATATTTCTATAGTTCCTTAAAATCTAAATTCTATATACTTCTATGTGCAAATAAGAAAAAAAAAAAAAAAAAAAAAAAAAAAGTGCAGATTTATATTCTAAAATACTTGTCTAGACATTTTATTATATAAATAAAATCATTAGTTAATTATAAAAAAAATAAAGTAAAAATTAAAATGAATAAAGCATTTATTTCTAAACATAAATGAAAAGTTATTCTTTAGATTTTGCTAATAACAAATATATACTTAAAATATATATTATCATTTTATAAAATGTTTTTACTTTTTTTAATTCTGTAAAAAAAAAAATAATAATAAAAATATTAGAATAATAAAATAACTACTGATATAAAAATTATTGCTTTTTTTAAAAAAAAAAAATGAGCAATTGTAATAAGTCAGACATATTGAAAAGATTTGTAGAAAATGATGAAAATGCTTTAATAGATGAGAATAGAAAAAATATTAATAATAGAAATATCAGCAATAAATTTTATAAAAATAAAAATTTTAAAGAAAAATCAGTAAAAAAGAAAATTTTAGTAAATGAAAATAACGATAAAATAAATATATATGATAATAAAACAAAATTAGTAAAAAATATTAATGAACCCAATTTAAATATTAAAGAGGATACAGGAAAATTAAGTAAAGGGGGGGATTACATAGAATTAAAAGAAAATGATAAAGAGAAGCAAAAAAGAGATGAAATTAAAGAAATAGCTAATATATGTATAGAAAAAAATTTAGCAGTTACTAGTGAAAATATACAAATCGTAAGAAAACTAAAGGAGAAAAGAACATTGGAAGAAAAGATAAATAAAAATGAGAATATTAAAAATTTACAAGAGAAAAGAAGAATTTTAGAAGAGATAGAATTTCATGAATGGGCTGATAGAGAAAAAAGAATAAAAGAACTACAAGAAAAAAAAATGAAATTATTGAAAAGGGTTATTGAACAAAGAGATACGGAAAAAGCTAATAAAATATTTTATGAAGTAGAAAAAATTATACAAAGAAGAGATGAAAATAAGGATAAAATAATTGAAAATTTTAAAAAAGAAAAAGCAAGAGATATGAGAAATTTATTTGTAGAAAGAAAAAACAATCTTAAAACAATTTTTAATCAAAAAAATGATATAGTGGATGAGATGAATGACTACACTTCTAATCATAATTTACAATTAGAAAGAAACGGTATAATTCCAAACAAAATTAATAATAAAATTTCAAGTAAAGTTGATAATTTATTAAACTTAAAAAACATTAATGAATTAGATACTACATTTAATAAATCATTTAATTATGTATATGGGGAAAATAAGTATGGAAAATTTTCTAAATATGAAAATAAAAAAAATAAAGATATAATTGACACATTTCATAGATATTTAAATAAGGAAGAAAAAAAACACACAACAAATGAATACTTAATAGGTGATACTTTTAAAACACATAAAAAAACACAATGTATGAAAATCAATTTCCCTCAAATAGAGGTTAAAAGTAATGAAGACGATAATTTTGAAAAAAATATTTTATATCTCCAAAATATATTAAGAGGAAAAGCAATAAAAACATTGATGAATGATGGAATAAAATCTTATAGTGATCTAATTGAAGAATTAAAAACTTATGAAAAAATAGATCAGTTCAGTATAAATGAAAAAGAATTATATGAAAAGGAGAATTTTGAGTCAATTAAAATTGATTCTTATGTAGAAAATATTCAAGGAAAATGTGTATCAGAATTACTAGATAAACTATCTAATGAATTAGAAAAACATGAAGAAGAAAGAAAAATAGCTGTACTAGTAAAATATGCAGAAAGAGAAAGGAGATTAAAAGAGTGTAAAGAGAAAGGAAAAAGACAAGCTGAAATTTTATTAAGAGAAAAAGAAGATTATTTATTTAATGAAATAATGGGATTAAATAATCAAAGTGTTGATTCTTATTTAGAAGATATTTTAAGTAAAGCAATAAATGATGCCTCTAAAGAAGAAGCATTAATAAGAACAAAAAAAAAAGCTGAACAATTAAATGATATATATAACTCATTAGAAAATAATTATGACGATAAAAGTAAACTTATTATTAAAGATTTAGTTGGAAACTTTATTATTCCATATGTTGATAAGCAAAGAGGAATAGAATTTGATCAATTAGAAGAAAAAAAAAATGATTATGTATCAAATTTTGCAACACAACATATATTTGCAAATATTAATGAAGCCTTTTAAAAAAATATTAAATTCATGTATAAAAAATAAAATAAAAATTTATGAAAAAATATATATAATTTTTTTTGAATCATTTTTTTCAATTTTTATTCATTTAGTTCAAATATAAAGTAATACAAAAAAATTAACAAAAAAATATTATTTATAAGGAAACCATAAAAAAAAAAAAAAAAAAAATTAAAATATAGATAAAATTTCCATATATAAATAATGTGTATCTTCTAAAATTAAAAGTATCTTTATTAAATTCGTTTATTTTGAATATATGTGTATAATGAACTTGTATTTTCAACTAAAACTTTTATAAATATTAACGTAAATTCATTAATGAAATATAATCCTAAATATATATTTAATTACTATATTTAAATATAATTTTAAATAATAAATTTAGAATTATCTGAATACAATTATTTATTTTTTTCTATATTTTGCAAAAATAAAGTGTTAAGGTATCTTAAATTTATCAATTTTTTTTTTTATCCAGAGAATGAGACAAATTAAAGTTTTTATCTTCTGTTTGATTATTTAAATTATTAAAAGTATGTTTTTTTATATTATTTCTAAAATTAGTGTCTTTCAAATTTATCTTGCAATTTCTACATTTAAAATAATTATTTAAATTAATTTTATTACCCCTTCTATATTTTATATATTTTAGAGGGTTTGAAAAATTTATGTATTTTGATTTTTCATAAATAATGGAATTTTGTAAATTTATTAAATCGTCAATTAATTCATTATTTCTGATTTCATTCATATAAATCATATCTTTCGATAAAAATTTCTCTTTTTTTATGATTCCTTCTTCGTTTATTTGTTCATTTTCTCCTTTTATTAAATTGTAACCACCGCATAATCCACCTATTCCATTAATATATCTGCTTTCATTATGTATTCCTCTATTTTCACTTAATAAAAAATTTTTATATAATGGATTATTATCTATATTTTTTTTAAGAAATGAATTTTTATGTTTAATTTTTTTAACTTTATCTTCCTTTTTCATACTATTTTTTTTAAAATTAGAAAAACTTATAATATTGTAATTAAAGGAATTTTTATTACTAATTTCTTTTGAAAATATGATAAAATTTTGGAGAACATTTTTTGGATGAGCTACTAGATTCATTGATATTTTTTTGTTTTCTAATAAATCGTCAAAAAACATTTTATTGTGATTCAAAAATTTTGAATCCTTAAAAATATTTATATCTTCCATTTTATTTTGAAATAATATTTGTTTCTTTAAATAATTTAAATCATTTTTTTCCTCTTCAAAAATATTTCTATTTATATAATTTGCATTTGGCTTTTTCTCAGCTTTCCTTATTTTTACAACATTAAATATATATCTTAATTTAAACAAAGATAGTGCATCTTTTTTTTCGTTATAAACATTTCCTATATGTGATTTACATAACTCATTTCTTAAAATATTTGAATCTTGTCTTTTATTATTCTCCTTATTAATTTTAATTGTAAAATTATAATCTTCTTTATCATTTGTATTTTTACAATTTTTAGTATCAATAATGTTTTCTATAAAATATATAATAAATGGAATTGAAAATAAAAAATAACTTTTTTTTAGATAAAATAATACTTTTGTTAGTTTTATATTCTTAAAAAAAAAATTTGAAGATGAAATTGTAGACGAATATGATTGTCTATTATTTTTATTTAAATTATTGAAAGGGTTATCTTCTTGATCATATTTTAACTTATCCTTTTCATTTCTTTTTTTTTTTAAAAACGATATAGCTATTTGAAATTGTCTATGTGCTTCTAAAAATTCATTTGAATATTTTTTTTGTATTGAAATATTTTTATACAAATGCTTATCAGGATGTAAATTTTTTATTTTATTAAAATAGTTTTTTTTTAATTCCTTTTCGGAACAATTTAATGATAAATTGAAATACTTAAAAGCTTTAGTTGCATTATCTTTACCCATCAAATGATAAGAAAATATAAAAAAAAAAAAACAAAAAAATAAGAAAAAAAATATCTCTTTAATAGATGGATTATATTTTATGGATTTTTTTTCTCTTAAAATAAGCTTTAAGAAAAAAAAAAAAAAAAAAAAAAGTTATAAATCCATTATATTATATAATATTCATCATTAAAATCAACAAATGATATTTTTAAAAATAGAAAACAAAATGGTACAAAAATATTTATCGAATAAAAATTTATATATTTCTATTTAATAGTTATTTTATTTTTTATTTTTTTTTTTTTTGTAATATATTATTTCATTATACTTATTTCTTTTTTTGTGCTATATTACATATAACATTTCGTGCATCAATAATATGTAAAAGATTATAAAGCAAAACTTTGTATAAAACTGTATTGTTATAAATTAAAATTATGAAACAAATTGAATGATCACACCATTCTATATTTATACAAATATATGTAATAGCATAAATGAACAATAAAATAAAATATTTATTTTTTTCTTTCTTTTTTTGTTTTTATTAGCATTTGTTATAATATTGTAAAAAAAAAATTGAAAAATTACCTTTTATTTTTATTCTTGTGTAACATATTTTCAAAAGGAAAAGTTACTAAGAAATATATTTATTATTTTTATAAAAAAGACTTTTCATTATTTATATTAATTTCCACAAAATTGAAATTTTATTTATAGAACAAAATTCTCCTTAAAATATCGGTATATATAAATAATTTTATATTTTATTAAAGGTTTAAATTTTTTTCTCGAAAAAATTTAATTCATACTTGATATAAAATTAATATTTATTTATTTCTTACTTTATTAATGTTTATTTATTTCTTACTTTATTAATATTTATTTATTTCTTACTTTATTAATGTTTATTTATTTCTTACTTTATTAATGTTTATTTAAATTTATCTTTTTAAACCACACCCCATTTAAATAAAAAAGAGTAATTTTTTATAAGTTCCTATATATTACACTTACGAAATTTTTTTTTAATTGATAAGACTAAATCTTCAGTTAAATACTCACAAAAGTATTTTGCACCTTGTGCTTTTCGAATTCATTCGGCTTATGAAAAATGTAATATGATAATATATGTGAGATATAAGTTGAAATTTTCAAATAAATAAATAATAAACTTGATCACTTTTTTTTTTTAAATTTTTATTATCAAGTTTTTGTTTCAAATATAATTTTAAAAAAAATTTCTAATTTTTTTTTTTTCTATAATCCTTTTTTTTATTTGATGACCAAATCAAAAATATGACTTACATGTAACTATAAATATCTGATGAACATTAGATTTCGATAAAGATTATATATTTTTACTTGAATTTTCTTAAATATAAAGAAATAAGTATGCGTATTTTTTTTTAACAATTATCTTTTTTATAGTTTAAATTTTAAATTTAAAATTCACAATTATTCTTTTTTATTTAAAAAAAAAAAGTAAATATAGATGTAATTACTTTTAAGATAATATGAGTTTTCATCATATGTTGAATTTCATTATTTTTAATATTTAATATTTTCTTATTTAAATAATTAGATATTCATAAAAACTGGCATTAAAAATAAGTGTTTCATTTTTTTTTTTTTTTTTTACGTGCATAATGTATATAGAAAAAAGGTATTTTAGTGCAATGCATTAAAATGTAAATATAAGGTGGAAAAAAAAAAAAGAATACATTTTTGTTTTTTGTTCTTAACAATTTTTTTCACAAAAACCCATGCATTTATCAATAATTTTAATTTATAAGGCATAATTAAAATAGAAGATATTTTATCACAGTATGAGAAAAATTTATTTCCTTGTTTTTTTAATATTTCCAACAAAAAAAAAAAAAAAAAGAAAAATATTAAAAAAAATAAGTAAAAATTGCTTTTCTTTTTCTAAATATATAAATAAATATAATTCATAAAAATAAAGTATACACTAAATTTTATTAAGAACACATTTCGTTATAGTAATCTTATTCTTTTCACGTTTTTTATTTCTTTATAGTTGGTAATTTTATTGCACACATCTTTATATTACAAGTGTTCTAGAAAAAACTTTTTTTAAAACTCAATATTAAAAATTATTAAGCAAATATATGAAAAAATATTTATATTACTAAATATATATATGCACTTTAATTAGTAAATAAATCTCGTATAAACTAGTAAAAAATGTACCTTGGTAAAATATCATTTATAAAGAATAAAAATGTAAAAAAAAAAAAACATAGAACTAAGTATATGAACACATAAGTTATCCCTTTTTAAAAGCATTAATTTAATATTATTAGAAATAGGAATTCATTATAAAATATAAAAAATGATAGAATTTTTTTTTTTTTTTGTAAAGTTTAATAAAAAAATACATTTGTTAATGAAAAAAATTTTATTTACATTTTAATTTACAATTTAAATAATTTTGTTTGCATATATACTTATTTTTATATATAAGGTTAAATTTCTTAAAAAAAAAAAAAACGTATATATATATATATATATATAATTATATATATTCTTTCCCATAAATACTTCGATATGTTCGTTTTTAATATCAGTAATAAAATGAATTACTAATAGCTTAAAGAATAAATGAAAAAAAAAAAAAAAAAAACAATTAGAAGAACAGTTCAAAAATAAGAAAATAGCAATTTTTAAAAAACTAAAGAAAAGTTTGTGCATAATAATTAAGTTCAAAAAAACAATTGGTGCAAAATAATTTAATCATTAATTTTGTATTTTTTTATATGTATCATAATGAAATTAAAGTAAAAAAAAATTGATCATAATTTTTTTTAATGCATCATATCATCACTTGTAAAATTAGAAAATAAAAATAGTCAAATAGGTTTTTCTAAGTACTTTTTTCATTTTTTCATATTGATATTTATGTATATGAATATATAATATTAATGAACGTTACAAAGGTTTCTTTTCATTTCTCAATGTATGAAGACAGTGTGCGATTTATAAAAAAAAAAAAAAAAAAAAAATATGCAAACATAAATTCTTATACATTTATAATTTTACATATATAAATGTATATTTAATAATTATTTTTTAATTTTTATAATATTTTTTATATTTTTAATATATATATTAAATCTTAATTTTTAAAATATAATTTTTTTCTATTTTTTTAAATTTCATCAATTTTTTTTTTTTTTTTTTTTTTTTTTTTTTTGTAAATAAATACTATTCTGTGTTTTATGAAAAAATATTTTCAATGCATTTCGCTATTTTTTTTTTTTTTTTTCATTGATATTTAAATTTAATGAAAATCTGATGCATATTTTTTTTTTATTATATATATATAGTATATAAAAAAAAAATTTTTTAATTTTATTGTGATATTTGATTTTTATTAAAATAATTTTTTCTTTTTTCTTTTATTTTTATTTTGAATAAAAAGAAGTCTTGAAAACTAATTAAAAGTATTATAATTCTGTGAAATTAAAAATTGTTTTTTTAAATAATTTAAAAAAAAGAAAAAAAAATGTCAGGAAAAGGACCAGCTCAAAAATCGCAAGCTGCAAAAAAAACTGCAGGAAAAACCTTGGGACCAAGGCATAAAAGAAAAAGAAGAACTGAATCTTTTTCGCTTTATATTTTTAAAGTTTTAAAACAAGTTCATCCAGAAACTGGTGTGACAAAAAAAAGTATGAATATTATGAATTCATTTATTAATGATATTTTTGACAGATTAGTTACTGAAGCAACTAGATTAATACGTTATAATAAAAAAAGAACATTGTCATCTCGTGAAATACAAACAGCTGTTAGATTGCTTTTACCTGGTGAATTATCAAAACATGCTGTATCAGAAGGAACTAAAGCTGTAACAAAATACACAACTAGTGGTGGTTAAATATATTGAAGAAATAGATATTTAAGAATATATATAAATATATATATATATATAAACTCTTATAAATAAATTATCATATTAAAAATAGAAATAGTAACACACGGAAAATTATCCTAACTATTGTAAAAAAAAAAAAAAAAAAAAAAAAAAAAAAAAAAAAAAAAAAAAAAAAAAAAAAAAAATAACCATAAATAAATCAAAATTAATAAAAAAAAAATATCATGATATATTTGAATATACATCATGGAAATTTAAAACAGTTTTTAAAAATTGTGGAATAAATTAATGAAAAATGTTTTTAAATGAGAGCTGACATTAATATTTTTTTTTTAATTTAGTTACATTTTTAAACACATGAGCATACATGTATATATATATATATATATATATATATATATATATATTTATATATATATAATGTACATATGTGCATTTATGTTTTAGTGCTTATAGTAATATAAAACAAACAGATTTAAAAAGAATAAAAAAAAAAATTAATAATAAAATTAAAAAAAATAAGTATCCATAAAAGTTGTTATAGAACATTTGCATATGTCTTTTTTTTTCTTTCTCTTTTTTTTTAATTATCGAATATATATCAAAGATAAATATAAAAACACATTAAACATTTAAAGTTCATTATAAACCGTATTTAGTTTTATTTTTTTTTTTTATTTTGATCTAACTAGAAAAATATTAATATAAAAAGTTGAAAGGAAAAAAAAACTGTTGTTAATATACTTCGTAATATATATTTTTAAAGTGTATGCTTTAAAAATATTAATTTTATTTGTTGTTTGACAAATTTAGATATAAATTATTTTAAAAAATGTATTCCTATATTTTATAATTTTCTTTTTAAACTTTTTATTTAAAGAGTTTATTATTAAAATTAAATAATATTAATTTTTCTGGGGCTTTTAAGTGAAAATTATAATTTTTTTTTTTTTCTTTTTTTATTTGCCTTTTAATATATTATATAAACTTTAAAATAATCCCTTTTTTTTCTATATTTTATAATAAATTTAATATTAATAAATCGTAGCAATTTAAATGTGAATGCCATGAAACAATAACATTTAACATAAGAAGAAAAGGATTTTGATAATACATAATTAAAAAACAAGTTAAAAAAATAATATACTATTATTTTTAGTTTTTAAAAGATATAATTCCTAAAAATTTATGTGTTTAAAATGATTCAAAATTAATCAATATGCCAATTTATTCAGGTTTTAATTATAAAATTTTAAACGCTATAAATTTCTATAATTTCCATGTAATATGTATTCATTTAAGATTAATATTTATAAAGTGATACCATATATATATATGTATGTAAAAATATCTTTTTATGAGATAGCTAACCATTTACATAAGAAGATTTCATATATAATTATTCATAAATTTATACATAAATATAATTTATATACAAATAATGTTGCAATTTTTTTTAAAATAACAACTTTTAAAAACAAATGCCATATGAAATATATAAAAAAGTTAAGAATACATATAAACATAATTTTAAAATGTAATTATAAAAGGAAAAAAATATATTTTATTTTTTATATACAAAAAATAATACTATGAAAATATTAAAAAAATATAGCAAAAAAAAAAAAAAAAACAGATACATTTATTACAAAAATAATATATATAAACACTTAATTTCAAAACAATAGAATTAATTATAATAAAAATTAAAAAAAAAAATTTATTATTCGTTACATAATATACCTTTATTTAAAAAAAAGAAAAAAAAATTTATAAAATACTTTATTAAAAATAATAATTATATTTATTTCCATAACTTTCTTTTTAATACAATTTAATTTAAATGTTCTTTTACTTATAAACAATTATTTTTATTTTAATATTTCATAATTTCATAAAAAAAAAAATTAAGCATTTTTTTTTTTGTAGTATTTTTCTTTTAAAGCATGCTTATTGTAAAAGTTAAAAAAAAATTAAATATATAAATATTTAGAAAAAGAATATATATTTTTTTAAAATTATAATATATAATAGTATTTATGAATGTTTAATAACATCATCTATATAAATCCATTATAAAGTTTTATATATGGAGAAAATACTGAAATGTATATTTATTTTCTCAGAGAAAATAAATTTTTTTTTTTTTATATTTTATTTTAATTGTACATTTAGTTTGTATTTAAATATTTTTAATTAATATTTCATCTATTATAAAAATAATTACATATATATATATATATATATTATTTATTTAAATTACATAATATTTTATTTATTTTAATTTTATAATATTTAATTTTTTTTAATAATTTTTTTATTTTATCATATCAATTATATTTAAATTTTAGTTAATCTTTTAAAAAGAGTAGAGAAGAATGTACAAAGATCTACACATTATAGAAAAATGCATGTACATTATCTTAATTTTTTAAATATATGCTTGTATAATTAGTGAAAAATTTTTAAAGTAATCAATTTAATTTACATGTTCATCTATTTTAAAATGCAGATTAATTAAAAATTTTTAAAATAAGAAAAAATTATTATTTTCGAAATATTAGGATTTTTTTTTTTTTTCAATGGAAACACAAAATTAAGAATGTATTTACATATGAATTATGTGTGAATATAAAGAAAAAAATTATTAAAAAAAAAAAAAATAAAATAAATAATAAAATAATTTTTGTTTTATTTAAATTAATACATGGTTATTACAGAATTTATATATTTAAAAATAATTTTTGTAAAAATAAACTATATATTTAAAAATAAAAAAAAAAATAGTTTATAACAAAAAATTAGAAATATTAACCAAAAAAATATATGGGTCATAGAAATAGAAATTCAATATGCATTCTATGTTTATAATTTAAAATGAAACATATAATCCAATATACCTAGTAATTTATTTTATTTTATTTTATTTTTTTTATAAATGTATATTATTTTCTATGATTTTTATTGTATCCAAAAATGAGGAAATATAAATAATTAATTTTATAATTATAATAATAAAGAATCATTGTATATAATATATAAATACATTATTATACACATATATATCAATATTTATGTATAACATATTAATATATACATATATATATATATGTATTAATAAAAAACTCTAAATATATAAAATTTCAAGGTATTATTATTAAAAGTATGAAATATTTTTGATGCTTCTTTCGTATCATTTATACATTCTATAAAGTTAACTATTTTATATGCGCTTAATTTTATTATTTTTTAAAGTTTTTATTAAGTTTATTTTAAAAAATTTTCTGTTTTATAGTTTATACTTTTATAATATTATTTAGATAATTTTATATTTAAAAATAAATAGTAAATTGAGAAAAAAATTAGTTACTTTCAACTGGAATTAATTACAAAAAAAAAAAAAAAAAATAAAAAAAAAAATAAAAAAAAAAAAAAATAAATAATAATAAAAGAATTAAAGAGATATTATATTGATAAAACGAAAGGAGTAAAAAAAAAAAAAAAAAAAAATGAAAAATTAATTCTTTTATTACAAAATTTATTTTTGTATATATGAAAATAATGTATTATGGACATTAAGAATCATATTTATATTTTTTCATTAATATACTTTTTTTTTTTTTTTTTTTTTATTTATTAATAATTAAAAATGGGAAAAGATATATACATATATAATAATTTAATTTTTTTAAATAATTCATATAATAATACATATAATATTTATAAGAATTTTAAATATATAAAGGTAATTCATTTTAAACAAAAAAAAAATATATATTTGTAATTTATTTTTTGTTGTTTTATAAATATATATGTATGCGTACATATATATGCTTTTGTTTGTTTTATTCTAATTTTTAATATTATAAAGAGTTATTTTTGGAATAATTCCATTTTAAACATACTTTAAAAAAAAAAAAAAAAAAAAATACATGAAAATATGAGCAACGTAAAAAAAAAAATATTTATATATATGTAATTAATAGATAGTAATATTATTGTAATATTTAAGTATAGACCTTTTTATCACTTTTATTATATATATTTAAAATTTTTATGCTATTGTGTACTATTTGTAGGTTTTTAATGTATTATATATTCTAATTTTATTAACGCTTGACATGTGAAATATTATATATATATATGTATATAATTTATACTTTTATAATTTTTATGCTTGTTAAATATTAAATAATTATGAAAATTTTAGACTTTTAAATAGATCGATAAGCTGAAATTATCAAGGCCACAAAAAAAAAAAAAAAATTATGCTTATATTTATATTCTTAAAATAGGCTTTTTCCTTTTTTTTTTTTTTTATGTAAAAGTGTAATTTAAAATTATTATTATAAAGTGAAAATAAATAATTATTTTTGTTGTAATAAAATTTTAATTTTTTAATTTTGCTAACATGAATTTATTTCATCTTGATAAAAAAGAAAAATACAGTATAGAGCATTATATGGGAAAACAAAGAAATAACTTTTTAATATTAAAAGATAAGAATAAAAAATTTGAAGATAAAATTAATAAAAATAAAACAAAGAATTTTAAAAAATATAATATATATAATACAAAAAATTTAAATTGTCATAAATTTTTTTTTAATTCTTCAAAAACTGAAAGTGAAATGAATAAAAATAAATCAAAAAAAAAAATTAAAATGATGGGTATAAAGAATAAGCAAACTATTGGTAACTGTATTTATAGAAAAAATTTTGAAGACTCAAAATTAAATGCAAAAAAAAATAATAAAAGTAAGAAATATAAAAGAGTAGAAAAGTCAGGTAACTATTTTCCATATGATATAAATTCAGATTCGTGTGATACTTACAATAAAAGTGAAGTTATAGATAATAAAAATTATAAATTAAAATTTAAAAAATCTTTTGAAAAAAATAAATTAAATAATGAACATACAAAAAAGAATATTTTATCTAATAAATTAAATAGTAAAAATATTGAATTAAAGTTTGAAAGCTCGGAAAATGATAAATTATCTAATATTTCCTATTATCATAATATTGAATTAAAAGATAAAAAAATTCAAAATGATAATTTATCTCATAATTTAAATTACGAAAATGTAGAGTCAAAAAATCAAAATGATCAAAATGATCAAAATGATCAAAATGTTAATTTATCTGATTCAAATTATAATATTGTAGATTTAAAACTTGAAGATAGTAGAAATGTTGGCTTATCTATTAAATTAAATAAAAATAATATTGATTTAAAATATGAACAAATTGAAAATACAAATTTATCAAACATTATGGGTTATGAAAGTGTAGGATTAAAACTTGAAAATACAGAAAATATTGATTCATCTAAAAACTTAGATGATATATTAGAAAAAGAAAATTGTGAATTTTCAAAATATACATTTGATAAATGTTTAAATGAAGAGGATTTAAAAAAAAATGATATATTTAATAATAATACTGTAGATAATAATATACTTAAAAATAAATTAAGTGAAAATGAGTACATAATTGAAAATGAGGAAAATAAATGTGAACATGTAAGTTTTTATAATACACAAAATATAAATGGCAGTAATTTTAGTAATTATATTTTACGTCATGAAAAAAATTATGATTTTAATAATAATTTAAATCAAAGTAATAATAACTATAATGCTAATTCTAATATTAATAATTTAAATTATAAAATGAATAATATGAATGAAGAAAATCATCTAAAAAATATTAATGAAATCAATAATATAAAAAAATTAAATAGTTGTAATGAAGTGAATAATTTAGATGAAATAAATACATATAATAATATAAATAACTTAAAGGAAATAAAAAGTGATGGAAGAATAAATAATTTTAGTTGTAACAAGAAAGTAAACTATGTAAATTATTCAGACAAACATATAAACAATGAGAACCAAAATAATAATTTTATGAATAATGATTTCTTTAATCAGAATATTCCACATGAAGATAATGAAGTTAACGGAAATATGAAGAATATTAACAATATAAGTAATTATAATAAATATATTCATCATACAAATAATCAATATTTTAAAATTGTGGAAAATAAAATAGGCAAAGGGAACATAAATTGTGCAAGAAAAAATGATTTGAAAAATGATTCTATTACAATGGAAGAAGGAAATGATAATATGATATATAAAGATGAATTTATTCACGAAAATGTTAAAGATGAAAGATACATAGAGAAAATGAAAAATATAAACATGAATTTAAAGAGGTTTAAACTAAATAAGGATGACATTAATATTTTAGAAAAATCACGAAATATAAGTGAACAAAATGATAAAGATATGTTTTTCTCTGATCCTTATAATACTATTAATGATATAAAGAGCGAAATAGAAGATAATATTTATTGTGATAAATATGATGAAAAAACATTGGGTAATATGAAAAGTGAAATGAAAGGAAATTATATATGCCCAATAGATACATCAAACAGTGAGAACGTTTGTGAAGTAAATGATTTTTCAAAAAAGAATTGTTGTATTTCGGTAGATTTTAATAATTTGAATTATATGAAAAACAACTATATAGAGAATGCCTGTGATAGTAGTATGTATGAACTTACAGATTATTATAATCATAATTTTATAAATGGTGAAAATGATAATAAATTAAACACTTATCATTCTACAAATAATTTATCTGCTAAAAATACAAACAATAGTGATGATTTAAAAACAGAAATAGACTATAATAAGAATATAGAAACACAGAATAGTAATAGTAAAAATGAAAAACGTATAAAAAAGTGTAATAATTTATGTAATGATAACTTTAATGATGATTATAATAATAACAATTTAAATTTTATGAATGAAAATGAAAATAATAACTATAATACAGATGAATATGATACAGAAATTGAAGAAATGAAATTAAAAAAAAAGGAATTTAAAAAAATGATTCTAAATAATAAATCTGAATTTACAACAATAAATGAAAATGATGAATTATATAAGACAGTTTTATACATTGAAAAAAAAAATAAAAAAATACTAAAAATGAGAAGATCATTAAGGAGAAAAAGGAAATTAAAAAGATTGGTAAGTTTAGATAAGGATAATGAATCTCCAAGTAAGAATATTAATAATGATATAACATATAACCAAAACACAGTTGCAAAAAATGAAGAATTTACGCAAATATTAGATAATAAAAATGAAGGTACAAGAAATAAGAATATTTTAGAAGATAATATGATGAAACAAAAGGACATAAATAATAATTATTGTAGTAGTAATAATAATATTGTCAAAAATAATATGGAAATCGAAAAAAGTTCTACTGTTTTTACTAATCATGATAATAATAATTTCGTTAATAAAATAAAAATGAATGAAAAAATTATACATGAAAAAGATGTTAATAATAAAGAAAATTATGAAAACAGAAATTTATTAAATTCTTCAAGTGGAGACATTGTAGAAAATAATAATGTAAATTACATAACGGATAAAAATTATAAAAAAAAAAATACTAGCTATGAGCCAAAAAAAAGTACAGAAAGAAAATATAAAAAGTTAAAAAGTAATGGTAGTTTAAATAAATATAAGATCATAGATGAAAATAAATTAAACAATAATATCAACTTACAAGATAAATACTATACAAATAATTATCATTCATCTGTTTCAATTTTAAAAAAATACGAAAAAAGTGATTCAGAACAAGGAAAAAATAATAACATTGAAAAATATACTGTTTATAGAGAAAATGAATTTTTATATGAACATTTAAATGATATGGGAATTAGTAATTATGATATAAAAGAAGAAAAAAAAAAAAACATCTCTGTTAAATTATGTAATAATAACGATATTGTTGAACCTTTCGCATCATATGAAGAAAATTTACGAGATGAATCAAACGATAATTATGAAGAAAATAATGAAATAATAAATAAAAGTAACAATATTGGAAAAATAAAAATGTCTAGAAGAACATTAAGAGATAGAAAAGAAAAAAGTAAGAAAGATGATGATTACATTTACGATGATGAAATATTTAATGAAAAAATTAAAAAAAGAAGAAATAAATTTAAAAATAAAAATACATTAAAAAAAAATAGAAAATTTTGCGAAAATAAATTTGATTTCGATATTACAAATTCACAAAATATATTAGAGAATAATGAAACATTAGATAATGACCAAGAGAAAATAAATGAACAAAAAAAATTTTTAACAGATAACCTTGAATTAATTAATGAGTATTTAAAACAAAATAAATTGAACGAAAATGTAAGTAAAGAAAATAATGAAGAAAAAGAAAAAGATAATTTATCCAATAAGAGAAATGATATATTAATAAATAAAGATCTAAAAAATATATCAAGTGGTAATTTATTAGATGCAGATTCTAATACAAATATTTATAATGAAGCAAATGGTAATCTAATGAATATAAAAAAGGATAGTATAATACAAATTATAAATAGCAATTTATTAGGTGTAAAAAGCATTGATTCATCTAATCAGAGAAATGAAATAGATTTTAAATCTAAAAGAAAGCAAAAAAGAAGTGTAAAAATATATAGAGTTCATAAAAATAGAACAGAAACTCCATTAGAAAAAAAATTGAGAATAAAAATTTGTTTAGAAGATTACTATAAAAGAAATAAAGAAATATATAATAATATTAATACATTGTCTTCTATAAATGATATTAATTTACCATCCATTGAAGATGAAAATTTTAATGATAATTTAACAATTCTTCTAAAAAAGAAAAAAAAAAATTTAATATGCTCAAACTGCTTATACGCTTATAAAGTTCAAATAAGTAAGAGAAACGATTTTATTGATAAGAATGAAACAGAAGACAATATGAAATGTAATGAAATGAAAGAAAAGAAAATCGAAAAAATCAAAGCAACTAAAAAAAGATATAACAAGAAAAATAAAGATAAAGGAGAGGATAGTAAAGATATAAATGATAGCAATCATGAAGTAGAAGAGGATATTAATTTACATGAGAAAAATAAAAATGAAAAATATATGGATATTAATTCATACAAAGAATTAGTTGAGAAAAATATTTTAGCAGAAAATTATTGTAAGATAACATTTTATTGTTTATGTGGTTATTTTAAATATATTAAAGAAGATGATGAATGGAAGCAAATTATAAATTGTTATTATGATGAAAAGGAAGAACTAAAACCAAAAGCTCCATATATTTTTTGTATCAAATGTAAGGAATTGTTAATAACTAATAGATTTCTTGATAAGGATAAAACAAAAATTATAATGATATGTGAATGTGGAAGTAGAAATTATGATAGAGTTAATTTCTTCTGGGTTAGGAGAGGAAACATAAAACAAAGAAAGGCACCACAAATATTATGCGAAGAATGTCATTCAAAAATGTGGGTTCACACATGGCTAGATGATATTGGATCCAAAGTTAAATTATTATGTAAATGTGGTTTTAAAAATTTCCTTAAAAAAAATAACAGTTGGGTTAGAAGTCCAAGATGGAAAAAACCTGTTCCATTAATAATTTGTAATTCATGTCAACAGAAAATGTATATGAGTCAATGGTTAAATAATGATGGAACAAAAGTTAAAATGAAATGTGAATGTGGATGGAAAACTTTGATTAAAGAAGGAAACACATGGGTAAGAAGTGAATGGTCAAAAAAATTATTATGTCTAAGATTAGTAAAAAACCCACATTTACTGCAAAAAAAATATAATATTCATTCTAGAAGAAAAAATAAATCAGTTAAAAATGATTCATCAGATGGAAATAATAATTTTGTTCTTAAAAATGAAACATCTGTTTCTATGAATGGGTCAAACAATAATGAAGTGATTGAAGATGAGTTAAATAATACTTTAACTAATTGTATTAAAAAGGATAAGAATTATAATGGTAAAATAAAGAAAACTAAATCCTTAAAAAATACTGCACAAAATGAAGAACCATTAATACAAGATGAAAATTTTGTAAACAATAATAGTGTTATTGATATGAGAAGTTCATCTAATGTAGATATTAATGAAAATGAAAAAATTGATCAAAGAAATTCACATGACGAAATTTTATTGAATCAAAGGGATAAATTATTTAATAAAAAAGATAATAATATAAGCAAGATAGAAAATTACATAAATTTTAAACAGAATGATTATAATAATTTAAGTAAGAAATGCGATTATAATAGTAATTCAGAAGAAAATGAAACAACTATAGGTTCATACAGTATTGTGAATAACCAAGAAAAATGTATGGTTACAAATCAAACTTATGATACGACTAAATATGAACAAGAAAATATTAAAACAAATATAGGAAAAAATATACTATGGGAAGAGAGAAATTTTGAATTAAATTCAAATGATAATAATAAAAGATCAATTGAATCAACATTTGATGAAAATAAAGATAAGGAAAATAATAATGTTTTTACTGAAAAATTAAAAAACTCAGAGAGTTATCCTTGTTCATTAATATGTGATGGAAATACTTCAAACAGTAGGAGATACGAAATGCATCAAACACAAGATAGAATAAATAATATTAATGAAAATTCCCTTATTGAAACTATAAATAATAATGATAACCTGAATCAAAACAGTGATGAATTAAATAAAAATTCCATAAATAGAAATTCAGCATATGATTTTTATAATATGAAAAATATGAATAGTGAAGATAAAGGAAATAACGATTTCAATAAAATGTACTTTGAAAACTCTTATTACTATGTTAATAATTACTATGATCGTTATGACAAAAATTATTACAATCAAAACATTCCTTTTAATGAAAATAATTATAACGAAAATAATGATGTAAATGTAAATTTTTATGAAAATTTTATACCTAATAATCAATTTCACCTTAATAATAATTATGCAGTAAATTATAATATTAACACATCGTTAGAATCTTTTCATGATAAGAAATATGTTAAAAATGACGTTCTATCACCACAATCTTATGATAAAAAGAAATTTATATTAGAAAACATCAAAAAGTTTGATAATAACATAAATGAAATTGATGTAAATTCTATTTTAGAAAATTTAGATGAAGAAATGTTAATTGAAACATTTATTGAAAATTTAATCGATAAAAATGAAATAGAAAAAAATAAGATGAATGATAATGAAGTTAATATAAATGAAATGTATCAAAATAAAATGTATCAAGATAGTATGTGTAATTATGAAATTTATCAGAATGTAATTAATCAAAATGAAATTTATCAAAATGAAATTTATCCAAATGGAATATATCAAAATGGAATTTATCCGAATGAGCTTTATCAAAATGAATTTTATCAAAACATAATTGAAAATACATTTAATAAAAATGAAATCAATAAAAACAATATTGATGAAAGTGAAGTTAATAAAAGTGAAATAAATCCAAATGAAATTAACCAAGGTAATGAAATTAATCAAAATTTAATTGATAATATAATAGATAAAAATGAAATAAATAAAAATGAAATTAATCAAAATTTAATTGATAATTTAATGGATAAAAATGAAATCAATAAAAATATTATTAATAAAAATGAAAACAATGGGCATTTTAATTCAGATAAGATAAATAAAAATGATATAGATAGAAGTTTAATTGACAAAAATTCAAGAGACAAAAACTCAGCTGATGAAAATATGCTAAAAGAAAACTTAACGAATGATATAAATAACAGTAATTATTCAAACAATTACAAATTTGCGAATGATTTGAAAACAAAAGAAAAATATAATAATGAAGTGAATAGAAATATTGAAGGAAATGTAAGTTTAAAAAATGTTAACAATCATGAAATAAATAGTAATGATATGTGTAATAATAATGTGGAAAATGCTGATATGAAAAATTTTGAAAACAACTATTATAAAAATAGTAATAATGAAAAAAAAAAGAAAAGTGATAATATATTAAATAACTGCAATTTTCAAGAAGAGTCGCAATATTTTAATAATGAATTTAAAAATATCATTGATCATATATTTTCTGATAAAAATATAGAAAATGAAACTTTTAATGATTATGTTAAAAATGTAGCATATAATTTTTGTAAGAGTTTAAATAAAAACGACAATGTACAAAATAACAAGGAAGAATGTAATACAAATACTTGTGAAGAGGATAAAACATATCTAAAAGAAGATAAAATAGATGAAGAAATGAAGAATTATAAAGATTTATCATTTTCAATTAATGATCACGCAAATTCCTTTATACCAAACAATTTTTGTAATGAATTTAATTTTTATGAAAACATCATGAATTTACAAAAACTAAATGGAGAAATGGAAAATGATTTGTCTTCTTATAAATCACATATAAATGACATTACACCAGAAAAACATGATTTAAATGAAATGCATGCTGATTATAATTTTAATTCAGATAACGAAGAAAAAATATGTTCTCATGAAAAAAAATATAAAATAAATGATTTTATAACCATATGTAAAAATTGTCATGAATATATAAATCATATTGATTATAAAATGTTATCATCAAATAATTTAGAAACAGAAATAGTTAATAAAATGAATATTGATGAGGAAAATACAATACAAGATAATGACTTAAAGAATTATGATGAGTCTGTTAGTGAAAAAAAAGAAATAAAAACTTATAATGAAAATGCATATAATTCATTAAAAATGGAAAATAATATTTCTTTAAATTACATACAAAATCAAAATGAATGCAACAATAATTATTCAGGTAATAATTCAAATCAAAGTTATAATAACAATTTTTCATCTATTGAAAATATGGAGGAAATAAATCATATTTATAATCAATATTGTGATTTTTACATTAATAATTCTATTATAGATGATGTTCATATAAAAAATAATTATTTGGGTAACTTTTTTTTTCAAGAACAAAATAACTATTCTTCTAATAGCGAACATTTTACTAATAATCAGACTCCTATAAAAAATGAAAATTTTTATTTCAGTGAAGATAACAACTACTTAAGTGACTCTACCAACTATATTAATACCAAAAATTTTTCTAATAAAGAAGTTTCATCGAAAGATAATTCATACAAAGAAAATAATTCTAATGATAATAATAATTGTGATGATAATTATCAAGAAAATTATTCTAATTATATTAATTCTGAGTGTAATAACAATTCATGTTATAATATTATACATATATAATAAAATCAACATAATTATAAAAAGAATCGAAATATTATTGATATCCATATTAATATTAACAAGAAAAAAAAAAAAAAAAAAAGAAAAATATTTAACAAAATTTTAAAAAAAAATAATAAAAAAAAATTCTAATGAAAAAATCTTATTACAATTTGTTTGATTAAACTTTTAAATGTTTTTATTATCCTAAAAATATAAATGATTTATATTACATTTTTATTATATTGCAAATATACATTTTTATTAAATTTATTAATTTTTAATAGAATTTTATCATTATATGAAAAAAAAAAAAAAAAAAAAAAATAGTATAAGTATAAAAAATAAAAATATTTTTAATCTCTTCATTGAAAAACATTACTTATTTTTAAAGATATGAATTTTATCAAAACTTCATTAAAAGTACTAAAAATAAATACACATTTTTTATATTATATTTTTACTAAAGTATAAGTCTATAAGCTTTTAAGTATTATACTTTGTAACCCTCATAAAACATTTTTATTTGAATAAAATTATATGTTATTTTTAAAACTTTGTCTATATATGTTTTTTTTATTTACAAAATTAAAACTTTATGAATAAAGCTCTATTTTTAAATTAGTTATTTTTATATAAATAAAAAGGAACTAGAAAAAAAAATTCAGAATTATAAAAATTGATAGACTTATTAATAATGTTTTAATTTGCAAAAAATATAAATCCTATATATTGAAATTTTTTATATATATTAATTTTTAATTTATATAGAAATATACTTTGTATTTTTTATTATAATTATATCATATTTTTTTATTAGATAAAAATTCTTACATAAAGTTATAATTTAAAAATTACCAAAATGTTTAACTTTTTATAATAATTTTTATTTTCTTCTATTATAATTTTTTAAATATATCTCATAAAATTTTATTTTATAAAATTTCCTTTTAAAATTTTATGCAACACAGCAATTTTAACTGTAATGAAAAAATGTACAATTTTGTTTTCTATGTAAAAATATTTTATATTCAATTTAAATAATTATTTTATAATTTTTCAAAAAAAATTTATATAAAGAATATTAATCATATGTACTTAAAAAAAAAAAAAAAAAAAAAAAAAAATTTTTTGTATATAATAAAAATATAATAAATGTTCTAAACAAATGAAAAAAAAAATTATATTTTTAACATTGAAACATAAATATATATATATTTGAAATTGTGAAAGATGAACGAAGAAAAAAATATAGCTAACATGGAAGAGAATAATTGTAAGGAATATAAAAAGACAAATGAAAATGACAGTAATAAAGAATATATAAAAAAATGTTATAATAATATAGATATGAATGAAAAAAAGGAAGAAAACAATGATAAAACAACTAAAAAAAAAAATATTTTAAATGAAAAAGAAAATAATGAAATAAGTGATAACTATATTAGATATTTAGAATGTATTAAAAACAACTGGTCATCATCTCAAGCGTCAAAAATTTTGAATAAAAAATTAATAAAATATATATCTGAAAGGTTCTTATACATGTCTAGTTCATTAAAAGTACGAGTATTAACTAGCTTTTTTTATCTTACTGATAAATTAAGAATAGAAAGTGAAAAATATTTATTATTAATTGCAGCAAATGGAGAAATAGATGGAAATGGATGGGTAAAAAAATTTAGTAGAATTTTAAAGCCATTTATTAAAACAGGAATAATAGATATTAAGGAAATAGATAGTCAAACAATGCATAGAATTTTAAATTTTATTGACCAAAATAATGGTAGTAATTATAATAATAAAAATAATAAATATTATTTTCACGATAAAAAAGAATTAGAACATATACATATGTGCGATCCAATAAATGAGTTAAAAAATTTAGAAAACAAAAATATTATACATCTAGATGAATATAAAATGTTTACTCCATCAAAAAATTTTGACTGTCTCCTATCATCGGTAATTAATTAACATACATCCTTTCTTTTTAATAGAATACAAAAAAAATTTTTAATTTTACTTCTTTTTTTATATTTTTATTTGTATATTTTAAAATGATATATATTATTTAAATATTACTATATACATATATTTATTTGTTTTTTTTTTTTTTTTTTTCTTTTTTTTATCTATATCACTGTACTGTATAAAGTAGTTATATTAATCTTTTCTTTTTTCATTCACACATTATTATGAATAAATAAAATTGTTTTATTTTTTAGATTATTAAAAAAGGGATCAATGAATTTAAAAAATGATAATTGTACCTTTTTATAATGGATGATATACTATTAAGCTCTTTTTATGATTTATTATCCTCAAAAACTTAATTTTTCTAATACTTAGATTATGATTTTTTTTGATTTTTTTTTTTTTTTTTTTCATTTTTCCTTATTTGTGTTGTTGTTACACGAAATATATATCGTTTATTTTAATTTTTTTTTTTTTTTTCTCTTGATATTTAAATTACTAAATTTTTTTTGTTACATGTATTCTTTTAATATTAAAAAAAAAAAAATTTTTTAAATCATCTTAAAAAAAAATATATTTTTTATTTTATATCTTACAACTGAAACTTAAAATGTTCCATTATAAAAA